CCTCGCGGTTGGAAACCTTCAATTGTTCCGCACTCGGCGTTCACAAGACAAGGTTGTGTGCCATCAGGGATGGTGTGGGTGAGCCCGATCACAAATGATTTCGAAGTGTGATCAGTCTTTATTGTCTCATTCGCCCAGGGCAACCACTCCTTCACAATAGCATGAGTGCCGATAGTTCGCACTATTGTTCGATCGTGCCCGATTCGGTCTCGAGAATCAATGTTACGACGAGACATCGCAGCGTATTGTCTGCTTTACCTTGTAAAACCAATTGCGGGGTATAATAACGTTGTCCACCGGGCGCTTGGTCTTCTTCCATCTACTGAGCTCTCTTCTCTGTGTTTTCGCTGCTGCTGCGCCGAAAACCTGGATCCCTTCTTTCAAAACCTTGGACCTCTCAACCCGCCATGACCTCTACGATCACACCGACAACGCAGCCCAGAGCGAGACGCCCTCCGCCAATCAAGAAAAGGCACAGTACGCACCATTTCCTTGGAAACCGTGTGTAGACCAGGTCGCTGACGTCTTGTCCAGCGAAGCCATGCCGATATTATCAGAACGGAACATGCCCTCACGCTGCGCAGGAGGATTGCGACTTTGCGCATGTCTATGCGCCATCTGGGCTGAAATCTTCTCCTTCGCCTCCACCCAAGCAGTGCAGATACTGGCTGCAGGGGTCTGTACGAATGGGATGTGGTGCCAGTTTCGGCATGGGGATGATCAGGATGGAGTCGAGGAGCTCAGAATCACAGGTGCGTCGCGTTTCTTGCTCGCCGGCTTCTGCACAGACAAGCCTATCCTTTCTGGCGTAGACTATAACATTCAGGTCCGGAGTGCAACTACACCTGGGCCAGAGCCAGGTGAGAGTGAAAGCGACTTTCCCTCAAGGAACGTGTTCTGAGTGACTGTGCTCGAACAGTTGGTCTTGTCCCAGTTGTTCCGCCGTCTCCCTACTTTGGGCAGCCGTCTGCGATCTACTTTGGACCGTCTCCGTATCAGCCGCATACGCCGATGGAGACGAGTCCCGTGGCTTCTCCTGCGGGAAGCCCGACGAGCGAGGAAGAAATGTATGCTCAAAGGCCATACTATTATTCGCCGTACGAGCCTGCGCTGGGTTATTCCCCGGCAGCGATTCCCTCCGCATTCATGGCGATACCTGTCTTCGATACTTCCATGGGCCCGAGGGCCCTGCCTTTGCCGGCAACTCCCGGTCTTTCTCCCCGAACATTTCGCCCTCGATCTGCAAGCTATCACAGTGCGTCCAGGGGAGCCCAGCCAGATCTTATCTGACGCCATGATAGCTAAACCATGCCGATACTTCAAGCCGGGGAGTGTGTGTCCAAGCGGAGATAACTGCACATTGTACGGCTCGTTTTCTCGCAGAGTACACTCCTGGTGCTCATCGCATGGTCCTCCAGCATCCATGCCTATCCACGCGTGAGCGTGTCGACCGAGTCTGACCGGAGTCCCGAGGCCCCGAGCGTCAGGATTTCGCACGAGCCAATCGCGAAAAAAGACTACTTCCCGGTCTCGTGGCGTGTCATCGGTGGCGGCGTGTCCCTGAGCGACAACAAGCGTGCGCCGTCCCCCCCTTTGCACTCCCTCGTATGCTCTGAAATCGGAGAAGAACCCATCCTCCCTCCGTTCTCGGACGAGGAGGACGTAGCCTCCGATGTCTCCCAAGACTCGGCGTCGACGTTCGAGATGCCTTCGGATGGCCCGTCGTCGAATAGCGATCACGAGCTACTCGTTGAACCCAGTGTGACCTCGACGATCGATTTCCCTTCGGAGGGGGAGGATGACACAGAGGAGAACGACGCTGTGCTACGGCGCACTCCCCTGAAGATGACGATCCCCGCAGTCCGGCAGCGCGCGTCGTCCGGTCCGTCGACACCTATCGGCACCCACCTCGTCGATGTTCTACGGGTACGTTTCTGTCAAAAACGTTCCGTGGCGCTGCATCTCATCTCTTTTCCCGCAGTTGTTCCCTGCCGAGTCGTAGACACTTCGAGTTCATTTTACTTTCGATACTTTTTGGGACCCAACGGCGCGTCATTCGATGTTCAATTACTCGCCCTTGTGAATGTATTTTTTTTGTTCGTTTCACGGATGGACATGTAGCATGTCTTTGCGCCAATCGGAGTTTGTTTCATGACGAAAAGGTTTTATCGATATCTTGCTGAAGGCCCATGGCTCAATCGAGTCTGCTCGCATCACAGAGTTTTATTGTTCCACCAAATGCTTGCGTGCGATCTGACTCAACTTTCGACTGCTTTCTGCTCAGGACTATCCTCCTTGCATGGCACATGACTCTCCATCCATGTTTCTGTGACGGTCCAATACAGCGCCCGATATGATTGCCAATATGATTAATGAGTACAAGTTTTTGAGTGGGCGTTATTCTACTAGAGACCTGCTGCCGCCAACATCTTCGCGTAGTTGGGGGATCCGAGACCAGTGACGGGATCCCATCCAGACACGGCCTTGAAGCCGGCGTGGCCGCATCCAGGGTTGCTGCCGTGCGTGACATCGTTGAGCATGCTCGGGTTAGCGTACAGCCATGGGTTGAGGAATCCGAGTGGGGCGTTGCCAGCGGCGATCAGCTTGTCGTTGATGAGAGAGATGACCGAGGCGAAGATAGGGGATGAGCAGGAGGTTCCGTCGACACCTTCCAGAGACCCGCCAGAGTAGATCTGCACGTTCTCGCCCTGCGCAGAGACGTCTGGGTAGCCACGGCCCGAGGAGTTGAACAGTCCAGAGTTGGTGCTGCCCTGTGCCTTCAAGAAGGCGGAGACGGCGGACGATTGGTAGCTGGGAGCTGGGAGAAGAGTGCATCAGTAATTGGAGGGCAAAAACAAAATGAACGAGACGCACTGCCCCAGTAGTTAGAGAAACCACCGCTGGAGAACGTCGAGGCGGTCTCGGGAGCAGAGCCAGTGACGGATCCGACGGCAGTGAGGTAGGGGCAACCGGCAGGGAACGCAGCCTGGTACTTGGAGCAGCTCTGGGACTGGCCACCCTCGACACCACCATCGCCAGACGCGAACAGAACGGAACTTCCGCGAGCGCCGAACGCAGCGTAGGCTGTGCAGAGTTTGCTGCGAAGGCTAGTAAGCGTTGTTCACGCGTGAAGGGATAGCCCGCTTACAAGGCAAGGGACTTGGACATGTCAGTCTCGTTCTCGCCGTACGAGGTGGTCATGACCTGCGGGACGGTGCTCTCCGACGAAAGGAAGTTGACGATGTCGAGGAAACCGCCCAGGTTTCCATCCTGGTAGTTGTCTCCCACCGACACGAACGAGATCGGAACGTCCGTGGCGATGCCAACGGTGTACTGGACGTCGAGGTTGGCCTCGATGCCGGCCCTGCTAGCACCCTGGGGGTTGGAGCCACTGTCGAGCGTCTGCAGGGTGAAGGTCGTGGACGAGCTCATGTCGGTCCGGTACCTCGTCAGGAAGGACTTCAAGTCGGCCTTCTGCGCGTACTGGTCGATGAATCCAGCGACAGCGATGCTGTTGGAGGACTCCGTCGCCGGCGTCGAGGGAATGCCGTACTGGGTCCGCAGGCAAGCGGGGAAGACACTCGACGTGCAGGCCGCGGCCGCATCGGTCGAGACGTTGGCGTTGGGCTTCGGGGTCGAGAGGACAGGGGCCATAGGGACCGGGTTGTTGAATGTCGTGGCCGGGTGCAGGGTGAACACGTAGTCGGCGACCTCGGAGGGGACGGAGTACTCGAGCGTGCGCGGGTAGGTCTTGCCCGACTGGGTGTGCTGGAATGTCTCGTACTTGGCGTTCAGCAGCTCGTTGGCCTTGGAAACAGGCACTGCAACGGAGAGCCAGTCACCAGCGGTGGTCGAAGCGGTGGCCGTCAGGCCGTGCGCTGCAAGCCAGGCGTTGACGGCTGAAGAAGCCTCACTGGTCGGGGCAAGGAAAGCATCTACCTGTCAGAAATACCTGTGAGTCAAGAAAGATCCACCGAACGAGAAACGTACCTCAGACTTGGAGAGATGGTGACCGTAGTTGGAGCTAGTCGGGGTGCTGACGTCCAAGAGAGCAGCCTCGAGACCAGCAACGTTGCTGGAGGGAAGTCCAATGCGGATGTTCAAGACAGTGGAATCGTCAGCCGGACCGAGGCTAACGAAGCCCGCCGGTGCACTAGGCTTGGACTCCTGAACAATGAAGTTCTTGAAGGCCGGGCTGGCGACAGCGACAGAGATGAGGGAAACGAAGAAGAGGGAGAACTTGGCAGGCATCCTGTACGAAGTCGACTCGAGGTGAGCTGGAGAATCCATGCAGGACCTCCATGTTTATATAGCAGAACGTCGACGAGCAGGCTAATGCGAATGCACATGCTGCACCAAAAGAACCGCATGATCTTGCACACGGCAAACCACTATCGTCGAAGACAACTGTTCGCAATGTCGTTGTGCTATCTCAAGCACAACCGGTGATTCCTCTTATTCCGCAAGTCCGCCTTCCTTCCGATCAGCTCTGATCTCGAGACGACGAGTGATTCGGGTCTGGAACTGTGTGGGCTGATCGAGTTCAAAGTTCGCAACACAAAATGCACACACCCGAGTGATCCTTCGACCTCGAGTATTCGTGATGCATATCCGTCGTTGCATGACCGAGCACGCTTCATGCCGTTCGAACGGATGCGACAGCCGTCACCACAGTATGAGATCACAGATTCGGGGCTGTGTGCCGCATGTCGCACCATGCGGATGCGCAGAGCCGGAGCGCTTCTTCGCAGCAAGGGCGCGTGCGCAAAGAGCTTTTAGTTCGTCGAGTTGTCCGAAGGTCATGTCAGATTACGGTGGGCGTTGGTAATGAAAGCCGCCTTGAGCATGGTACACATCACGTGTGCGGTGTGCGGTGTGCTGTCCGCCGTCGTGACTGTCAGACTCGGCGTCACTGGGCCCCGAAAGATTCGGACTAGTGGCTTTGCCTGAACTGATGAGATCAAATCACGAAAAAGCATTATTCCCGAGATTCCAAGACCATACCAAGTCAATGCCAAGGCGAAACTCAAAAATAGCCTTCTGACGCGAGTCGAACTGAAGCACAGAGTAGCCGTAAAAGATGCGTACGGTCTAGTTGGTCGCATGGAGGGACGGAGTATGCAGACTCAAACATTATCCAGGACTCGTCGGCCGTTGTTCTCAGTTCTCCCATCACCCAGGCCAAGTGTATAGACTACATGATATTGATGTACATGACTCGCAATTGCAAGATGTTTATATGGGAAAAGCCTGAGCTGAAGGATGAGTTGTCATCCATGTAACAATACACAACACTTCGCAGAAAGATGAAGACGCTCAAATCAGACTTCGTTTGATGTTCTTCGTGAGCCATTCCAGTCCTTCGTACATCCCCTCTCCAGACATGGCACAAGTCGCCTGCAGCAGACAAGCCGATGAGAATCCAGTATTCGGGTCAGGGACAAGCGTCTCACCTGGATATACCACGTCCTGTGCCTCAGCCCCGACAGCCCCAACTTGTCGGCCATCTCAGCGGTCGACAACGCGTCCGGCATATCTTGCTTGTTGGCGTAAACCAGCAGAAGCGCATCACGCAGTTCGTCTTCGTTCATCATCTGGTGTAATTCCTCTCGGGCGATGATTATCCGGTCGCGGTCGCTGGAATCAACCACGAAGATGATGGCCTGAGCGTTCTGGTAGTCTCGGATGAAGTTCAGCCGATCGTCTACAAGTATGGGATGAGCGAGCAACACACAATAGCGCCAGAGGTGGCGGATCTTGTCCTGGCCACCGATATCCCATACGTTGAGCGATACGTTCTTGTAGTCGAGGGTCTCGACATTGAAACCTTGGTATATGCATCAGCACGCTGAGGTCTTCCAGCAGCAGAATGCACAAACCGATGGTAGGGATGGATATCACGATCTCCCCGAGCTTCAGTTTGTACAAAATGGTGGTCTTCCCAGCACCGTCGAGCCCGAGCTGATCAACTTAGATAAACTGGAAGCTGGCAGATGGCAGCTTACCATCAGAAGTCCTGAGATGCAGGCGCATTAATCAGCCACAGTACGCGGTGTGAGATGCAACCATGCACTTACGCATCTCCCGTTTTCCTAGAAGCCCATCGAAGAGACGAGAGAAGATGCCTGTGGCGATCCCCCAGACGGATTGTAGGAGTGACATTGAATTGAATTTGAATGGGTGTGATGATGACTTGGACGACCCAACTGGCGTGTTATATATGCGCTTGAAGTTCGACACGTACCGAGGCGCAGAGGCTAATACGTGGCGCGAGCGCCAATGCAGCAAGTCAGTTGCAATGCCCATGCCATCTCCATCATATGACTCGCTGCAGCGCGCAGCAGTCCGCGCCCGGTCGTGACTCAGCGCGCATTGGCAGTTGGACAGGCCGCCAAACCCGAGAGATTCGATGGATTGCTGTGACTTTCAATGCTGCGCCATATCTTGAGAAGGGCGCGACGTGTTGAGCTGACGGGACATGACTGACGCTGTGGCAGGTATCGCATGTGTCATCCGCGTCAGGAGTCGGAGGTGGTGATATAAGGTCAGCGCTCAGCGATCTCGAGGCCAGGGAGCGCATGGTAGAAGATTGTGGGCTAGCCCAAAGGCCATGGCATCTACGAATTTCGAATTGATGTGGGCGACTAGTAAACAGGGAGCTCGAGTGTGACTTGAGTGACAGTCCAATTTCCTGGTGATGGGACACTGCCGGATCATTGATTCAGTGGATGGATGGATTAACCGCATAGGTCCCTGTGCAGAACAGCGGGGCTCTGTACCTACATACACTAGCCTACAATGTATGTTACAGACAAGCTTGTGCAATAACTTCGTTGAATGGGTAACGAATCGGAGATCTAATCAAAGGGGTCGGATTTCATACCCACTGTGGATATCACTCGATGCAGCTACCATTCATGCCAACTTTATCGTCAGGATATGCAGCGGATAACATCATTTTAATTGCACCTGCAGACTCTGCCTTCTATTTATTGGATTGATCACAATCTATCATGAGCCAGCTATACTCCCGGCTTTCTGCCCCCAGTCGCTTTGTACATCGCATGGAATCTTGTTGTCGAGTCGGCAAGCAGAGCAGCAGGACTGAGCAGAGATAAGGATGAGATAATATTTGACTAGAATACGAAACCACTTGCCTGTCGAATTCGACTATTTGCCCTGAATCAAGGACCATGATCTGCAAAATAGAGCGCTGAACTCCAATGTGCATGTCCAGATATCAAATAACTTACCCGGTCATAGGTCAAGATTGTCGAAAGTCGATGGGCGATCGTCAAGACTGTGCTGGCCTTGAATGCCCTGTGGCTAGTAAAGCGACCGCGTTTTAGTAAGATAGATGGCGCACTCGTGGATAGTCGAGTTGATCAACTCGTCCGTCGCATAGTCGATGCTCCAGAGATGGCGTTGAGTCATTGCAAAAAAAAAACTGGTGTTATGCCGCATACCTAGCTGTAGCCTAGCAGACGTAAAACTTGGAATCCTGAACAGCCGAATGCGGAGGAACGAACCTCATCCATGATCAGAATCTGACTATGCTTGAGGATGGCCCTTGCCATGCATATCAGTTGCTTCTCCCTGTTCATGAATCAGACTTCAGAGACGCGCTCAGGTCTCGAAGATAGCAGACGGACCCCAGGGACAAATTGTCACCGCCTTCCGAGACAGGTGAATCAAGATTCTGGAAGACATTGATTTGTTCTCCACCCATGTCTGGCTCAGAATCTTGGTTCGAGATTAGATGCACGCGGCGGAGAGCGTCGAACTGAGAAACATGAGCGGTATGCTGTCGAGAGAGGGAGTCACGTACGATCTCTGAATCCGTGTGCTCGCCAAACACGTCCAGAGTAGACCTCAGGGTGCCGCTGAGTATCGTCGGATCCTCTATTGCCCGTGATTCAAGTTGATTCGCCCTCAGACCACTGACAGGGTACGTCACTCACGCGGGATGATAGTCAAGCTGCGCCGAAGCTCGGCAAGACCAATCTTGCTGATGTCCAGCCCGTCGACGAAGATCGCGCCTTCGAAATGCGGGATAAATCGGAACAGACTGAGCGCAAGGGTGCTCTTGCCAGAGCCTGTGCGGCCCACAATCCCGATCTCCAGCCCCACTCAGCCCAATATGCGGACCTGAGATCCCATCAAGCTTACCTTCTCTCCGGGCTTGATGTCGAAATTCAAACCGTGCAGAACCGGAGGTGACTCGGGCTGTAAGCACTGAGGATCTACACTTACTCGGGTCATGATAGGTAAATATGCACTCTGTAGCGGACAACCAGATTCTCGCATCGGATAGAGCCCTGCTGTGGCCACTTGGGCGGCGGAATGAGCTCGCAATCCGAAGAGACTTCGGGAGTCAGCTCGGAGTATTCTTTGATGCGTTCGAGTGAGACCAGATCCTGTTCGAGGCCCGAGTAGCGCATAGCCTCCGAAAAAGCATAAGTGAAAAATCGGATCCGGGGTGAGTCAGCATCTACCATGTTTTGAAACTACGCTCGCGCGTGAGCCTCCGCGCCAGAGTCCAGATCTATTGCACTCACATCGTTGGTCACTTGTGTAGCGAAGAGGATCATAAACCCAGTCAACCCAGCATCGATGCGGGGAGAGAAGACAGCCATGATAGCTACGGCAAAAGTCAAGACGCCGGTAAGCGCATTGGAGCGCAGTCCCAGCCATTGACCCACTGATGAAACCAGTCCGCTGAGCTTGACGCGGTCACGTGATACAACACAAAACTCACTAGCGGCAGTCCAGTACAATGGGGCTGTGTTCTGTACGCGTTTGAGTTGAGGGAATATGCGTGGTTAGAGTGTCAGATGAACATACATTATCCAATATCTTGATCAAATTAGTCATAAATTGCGACGATGCACCAAACGCGCGCAGCGTGGTGATACCGGACACGGTCTCCCAGTAAACAGAATGAAGTGGGGAACTTGATATCGACGCTATAAAACGATTAGAAAAGTGTCATTCTCTGTAACCGCGAATAGGACTCTGACATAACCGCCGCATCTCTCTCGATGTCGACGCATACATCTTTCCGTCTGCGGCACTGCATCAGCATCGAAGGTCGAGCCAACCCCAAATGAGACTCACAGTGGAAGTACACAGCCCCTAAAAACAGAGAGACCGCGAAGAATACCCAGCCCCCGATCAAGGTCATCACACAGAAGGTGATCATGGCTGACACGAGAGCCATCACAGAATGACCCACAGTGACAGCTACCTGCTTATCAATAGCTTCGAGATCCTTGCCGAACCGGTTGAGGACGCGACCACGTGAGATGGTGTCGTGGAAGTGGATGGTGGTATTCAGAATCGAGTGGAGGAGATCTAAGTGCCATTCGGCTGCCTGTCCATGAGGTTGGCCGAGTACAGTACTCACCTTGAAAGATCGTACGAGACGCTTGAATTGAACCGGAATCTTGCCCAGGTTCAATGTTCTGAACTTAAAAACACAGAGACTCACAGAGCATGAACCATCTGAACGTCTTGACTGCCAGGCCTGTTTTAAGTAGAGTGAAAATAGTGAAACTTGTCTCTCCTGATCTGGAAAAGAAACATACCAGCGAGAGTCAATCCAGCATAAACCCCGACATAAAACATTGCTCCTCTGCTCTCTGTCGCGTCCGAGGCTGACCATGTTCTATTGAAATTCCTCAGCTTCTGTCCTTATCACCAGGGAAAAGCACACTTAAGCCACCCGTTTTCCAAGAGAGCACTGGCCCCTCCCATAAACAAAATGACCGCCAGGCCCATCCAATACCGATAACTTCCAGCTGCGCGCATGTAAGTCACCCAGATATCGCTGTCTATCACACCATGAGATCGGGACTCTTCTTCGACGTATTTACGAGCGGGTTTTCTCCGCGAAGGATCCGTGTCGTCTACGACTGTAGTTGCTGTTGCCATTGAGGCTCGATCAGGCTCTGTGTTGTCCCGTCCGTGTTCAGAAAGGTCAAATATCCCCATTTTCCTGCTGAACCCATCCGCGTCACCTTGAAACGCCACCTTCCCATCCTGGAGTGCAACGACCAGGGCTGCTCCTGGCGCACAGAGCTGCACGTGATGCGACACAAGGATGACGGTCCGGTCTTGCATCAGCGGCCCTGTCAGACAGTGATGGTAGATGTGGTGCGCTGTATGGCTGTCCACTGCGGAGAGTACGTCGTCGAGAAGGAGAGTCGAAGCACAGCTGTACACTGCCCGAGCGAGCGACACTGAAAAAGTGTGAAGCGGCTTCTTTATTTCTAACGAAGACGCACCTCGGGCTTTCTGGCCGCCAGATAGATTGACCTTGAAAAAACGTGAATTTTCCTCTCCAGTTCTACATTGTCTTCCGCCTACCCCATGCTCTCCAATCTCAGACTCATCACCATCCTCGAGCACTTGCAGATCAGCAACCAAAGCACAGGCATGCAGAGTCGCACGATAGCGGGCTTCGTCCAGCGGGAGATGGAACAGAATATTGTCTACGGAGCCGATGAGTGACTGCGCGCAAACTTGCCCGAAGTCTGGCACCTTTGATCGACTGGTTTCGCAGCCACGCAGTCTGTGGAACATAGGCAGTCACACCCGGAACCACCCAGCCTTCGGGATCAATCCACCCGGAAAGCGATTCCAGAGAATTTGGATGCGAGCGCGGACAAGTCACTGTCCCCTCCACAATGTTTGCTTCACCCAAGAGTCCTGTCAATGGACGTGATCAGATCGGATTATCTGTCAATTCCGGATACTGAAACCCAGCCCCTCACCCAATAGCAACAGCGATTTGCCTGATCCGAATTTCCCACAAACAAGGCTTAGGCATCCGGAAGGAAAGGAGACCGTGGCGTTCTTGAGGGTGAACTGCTCGTAATCCGAGCTCAGCGCCGCCTTCGGCCAGGCAATTGTGGCGGCTTTGAGCTCGATTGAAGCAGAAATCCCAGAAACAACAGGTGTCACTTCGGGACTGTCTAGATACTGAGACGTAAAAGAGATCATCAGGTTAGCAAGATGACTTTCGACTGGGCTTACTCTTTGGATACGATCGAGGGAGACAGAAGCTTTGATGATGTTGATGATAGCGGCAGGAATTCCCTTGATCGCAAATTGGATCTCGGTGAATACTGTGCAATGAGGTTGGAATGAGCCCAAACACGCTTTCAAACTTACTCGAAAGCTGACAAGAATGGGTTATTGTGAGTCAGAGAATGTGATGGGGTAATTACAGCAGTAAAGGCGATGGCTGGGGTCAAATCCTGTCCTCTTATGACAGTGAAATGCCAGAATGAAGTGATCGCAAAAAGTATCGGGATGGAGTCACTGGATACAAAATGTTGAACCGATCATGTGTTCGAAGAATATGCTGATTGACAAACCCCATTGCTGTCCACAGCATCTTATTTGAAATATGCGAGAGCGCCAGCAGAGAGGAGCAGAAGACGCACCTCGATTGTGTATGTCAGCTTTTGGTATGCCAACTCTTTCATTCTGATCCGGAGAACCTTTTCCTCAAACCGTGTTTCCCAAGCCATAAACTGACAATTGGGTCAATTGAAGTGCAAAAGTTCCAACTAGGCTGACCTTGAGCATACGAATAGCTCCGAGGATCTGCATGTGCTGTTAGCGCGTCCCACACCGGTTCCAATCCACGTACCTCGTTTGTTAGCGCAATCCGTTCATCCCGCGCATGCACCAAATTCCGTTGCGTTTGAGCCACGACAGATCCACTCACGTGGTGGAGAGGAAGGCAAATCAGAACCACAACGAGGCCAACAAGGGACGAAACGCCTGTGAAGGGATTGGAGAGGTGTTGAGTCGAGAAGGGAAAGTGAGGCGCACCGAGAAGCCTGTAGAGGAAGAATATACCCACCAGAATCTCTACGGGTGTGTCTACAGAGATTCAATCTCGTGAATCGTAGTCTTATCAACAAGCTCGGAAAACTCACCCACGATGTCGTAAATCGCATCAGCCAAACCCACGACTTGCTCGACGTCACTGGACATGAGAGCGATGATATCCGCCTTTGAGTTGACGGCGTCCTCGGAGGACTCTGCAGACACATTCTGCCTCAGCAGCGTCTTTGAGAACAGAAGCGTGTTCAGCTGAAGACGGAGTTTGATTTTGAGAACGTGGCCAACGAATTGCTGTTGCGACATGGCTGGAACGGATTTATGCCTCGGATCCACTGGCACGATATCCTGGACTCACCTAATGCGAGCGCAAGATGCGCTACACCCAGACCGCAGACCCATATCCAAGCTGCGCCTCTCTCGGACCGGCTCGTATCGTCTTCGAGATACTGGAGGAATCTGTTCAGGAAGAACGACGGCGCGTAGTAGACAAATGCCAGCCCAAACGAAAGCAGTCCCACACGGGTCACTGATGAGAGATTGACGCGCAACAGCTGGGAGATAATCGGATGTGCACCCGAGTGGGGAGCCGATAGATTCCAGGCTGTGCGAATGTTGGCTGGCAAGATCGGCAGGTCGTGGATCTCGAACGAGGGGAGATGACGCAGCGAGAAAATCTCCGTTGTGAACAGGAACAGCGCCGAGTTTAGGATGGACCCTGTCGCGTTTTCAGCGACGCGCCGCGTCCTCCCGTACGTCATGGGAGGAGATAGAGGAGTGGTGAGCGAGATCAAGCACAGAAGTGCATTCATCGCGAAGACCAGGCCGTGCGTCCAGTTCCTATGGGTGTATGTTGGCAGAAGTAGTGTCCGTCCACTGATCAAGCTCCCAACGAGAGTGAGGGCGGAGAGATGATACACGTAGGTTTCGTGTGCAGAAAAGAGGACGAGGAGGAGCATATAGATAGAGATCACCGCTGCAAGTGTCGGCTGCGCACCGGAGATTTCGAACACAAGGTTGGCTAGAAGGAGGCCGAGCACAACGTATTTCCTGTGTTCGAGCTGATGTGCATCATTCAGACAAGGGCTGGCTCCGGATGGGTAAGACCCACTCTTTTCAAGAACACGTCCTCTTCCCGGAGGGAGTAGCCGCTGTCTTCGAATCGACTCCAGTCTTCCACTCGAACGCGTCCCTGTCGAATACTGTTGGCCCAATTGATCGAAGCGATGGCAATGCTCAAGCCCATAGCGACAGCCAGGACTAGATTGGCCACTTCCATGGCGTGTAGAGAAAGTGGGGGGGGAGGAGGGACAAATCTGGAAGGCTCCTCGCCGTCTTTCTTGAATACCAGCGCTTCAGGTTCCGCTAATCAAGGTGTGTGCCAAAGTTTTCATCCGCATGTGCATCTGATGACTCGGAGGCAGGCACGAATAGATTGACATCATCCGTTCTCAGCCAGAGTCAGAAATCAGGCGCCTCCGCAAAGGCTCTCGACCCCGATCAACCGAATGAGAAATCGCGGCGACAAAGCCTTACACGTGACCCAATGACGGAGCTGACGGCCTGATCCATGACGGATGATGACACGTATGCTGACACTCTCGGAATGTTCTCGATGACGCCTGACGGCCCAGGACGGCCCAGGATTATGCCATGCTGCGGTGGAGGCCCGGGTAGGTTTACAGATCGCAGCATATAAGTAGCTGTGCACTGGCTATGGAGGATCCATCCGTCCGCACTCCCGTCATACACCAGAGCTCATTCCAGCCTACTGCCGCTCAACGATGTCGTCCTCCGTTGTCATCCCCTCCAAGCGCGCACCCTCTCCCTCATCGGTAGCTTCCTCCCCCTCGAGTGTGTATGTTCCGGTCCACAAACGGACACCCTCAGTGGAACACGAGCGAACTCGTGAGCCGTGTTTTCTTTGCTGCATCTTACACCCGACTGACCGCGTGTTTCAGTGCCTGTGTACACAATCGCAGAACTCCTGCAGCTAGCCGAATCTCCTCTTTCCAAAGAGCGGACGGCCCCCATCCACGCCACACTGCACGCCGATGACGAACTCCACCTCATCTCCCTCACGAAGCGCAAGCAGCGGTCGCGGGAGTTCCTGGCACGTCAGGCAGAGGCCGATCGCCGGAGAGCAGAATCTGCTTCTGCATCTGCTTCTGCATCCGCAGCAGTGCATACGCCTGGACCCTCAGGGGCTCAGCGCAGACGGCCCATCGGACGCGCAACGGAACGGAACGCGACGCGACGCGCGCCATTCGGCTCCGCGAAGAACCAGTTTGCTGTCGATCTTGCTACGAATTGGCGTGTCCCTTCAGCTGCTCCTCGGCGATTCGACTTTCCCAGTATACCCGTCGCACCGGTCGCTTGATCACAGCGTTCATCATGACCCCATCGCATAACCATAGCATTGTAATCATAGCACAGATACATACATCCACCCCTGGCATAAAATTCCATTCCACAAGCAAAGAAAAAACAGTGTGAGGCAACTGGAGAATTTGTTTGTGCTGGAGTGGGCATTACACACCGCTGTGAGAAATTAGGAAAACGCTTCGCACCGCCACATCAAATGTCAAAGTACGCGACACTCCAAATTTTGAGTGACTGGTTACATCAAGTCCGACCCACCGCCCTTGCCAACATGATGGATCAGGCAATCTGGAGCGGAGCAACCCGATGGTGTGCTGCGTATCGGTCAATGTTGATCACTAAACCGTCGAACCCCTCGCACTTTCCCGCCTTGAGACGCCGGTGATGACGACACGCGACTGCGGAGTGCAGACATCGCGCGAAGATCTCTATCTAGAGTATCCCCCGCATCCCATTGCAAATCTGCGGCACGGCATCCATTCACACAGTCGTTGGCTATTTTAATACCAGCTATGCACTAAGACTCCACCTGCCACTTCTTCCTCCTACCTGCCTCTACTGAGAATCATCGCTATGGCAATGCATGGGACGGTCTCGCGTCGACGCTGTGTCGTGGGCTTGGTCGTCGCGGTGCGTGTTCTCCCGCCCATGGTTGTCGGGCCAGCTGAACCAAGCACGACTGTCCCCTATCCTAGATGACGCTGTTGTATTTCTTTCACGCAGCATTGCACGAATCCGAATACGACATCTCCGCCTCGTTCGCGTGGACTCAGAGGCCGCAGCTATCGCCCGGGAAGCCATCGCCCGAGAAGCCACAGCTATCGCCCGACCAGCTGGAGCCCGGGAAGGACGACTTCTGTGCTGGTCGAATGCGGGAGAACGCGACGATGCTGATGCTTGCACGGAACAGCGACTTGAAAGGCGCGATCGGCAGCGTAGCTTTGGTTGAGGAGAGGTTCAATCGGCATTGCCACTATCCCTGGGTGTTCCTCAACGAGGAGCCATTTACGGAAGAGTTCCAAAAGTGCGTCGGACACGATGCTCGCCGAATATCTCCCGTTGGCTTATGACTGCATCATCTAGGGCGATGCTCAGCACCACCAACAGTTCTGTCTCGTTCGGTGTAGTCCCCGAGGAGCACTGGTACCAGCCAGGCTGGATTGACGAGAGCGTTGCGCGCCAGGGGCGCGAGAAGATGGTCGAGCAGAACATCATCTACGGGGACAGCGTACCGTGCGTGTCTGCCGTTCATTTGCAACATGCATCTCATTGTCCTTCTCGATCAGGTATCGCAACATGTGCAGGTGAGTCCGCTCGATTCACAGCCCGTTCATTCCACCGACCGTCGCGGAGGTTCAACTCTGGAGTGCGTGTTTTATCGATGATTAGCATCAGCGTATTCGGTTCTGACGCCGCCTCGACAGTTCTTTTTCAAGCAGCCCCTACTACAAAATTATCGCTACTACTGGAGGTGCGTGTTCGTCGGGTGTGTTGCTCGTCGTGCTAATCTATTCGCAGGGTCGAGTGGGTGTCCCTAACTTGCGTCTAGGCCGCAACGGCTGACATTGGTCCAGACCTGACATTGAATACACTTGCGACGTGGACTATGACCCCTTTCGTTACATGGTGGAGAACAACAAGACCTATGGTGAGGTTTATCGTGTTTCCCCAAATGCGTTCCGAAACTGATTACGACAGGCTTCACGATCTCGTTTTTTGAATGGGAGCCCACAATACCCACCCTCTGGTCCACCGTAAAAGGTTTAGTGTTCCCCGTTGAAACGCAGTCTAATCACTGACACAAACGCCCAGAATTTATGGCGCTGCACCCTGAATACATAGCCGATAACAACGCCATGTCGTTTCTCTCTGACGACGGGGGCGAGACTTACAATCTGTGCCATTTCTGGTCCAACTTTGAGATCGCCGACATGGACTTTTGGCGGGGCGAGGCCTACCAGGCGTTCTTCGACTTTCTCGAGAATAAAGGCGGGTTCTACTACGAGCGATGGGGCGATGCGCCGGTGCATTCGATCGCCATTGCGCTGTTTGCGCCCCGGGAAAGGATGCACTTTTTCAAGGATATCGGCTATAAGCACGAGCCTTTCCAGCATTGTCCGCCGGCGGACGTGTACGTTGCGAAAAAGTGTACCTGCAATATCGCAGACGCTATTGGTGCGTGGTTATCCGAACACCACCCTCGTACTGATCCGAGTTGTGTGCAGACTACCGTTCTCAGTCTTGTATCCCAAGATTCCAGCGGCTGTTCCAGTGAATGTAACCCCACTGATCTGTATCCATATATCTATTTTATTACCACGGACTGGAGGTAGCACATGTACGATTATGTATCGAGAGCACCGGCAGATGCTCATCCACTAGAAGATGCGTGTTCTGGTATACAAGAAGGACACGTACATGGGACTATTATTACAGAATAACAATAACACGTGCGATACAGGATAGCAATCTGCAAAGCCATAGGGATGTCATAGCCCAGCTGCAGCCATCATCTTTGGAAAGTTGGGTGTTCCCAGCCCGGTGATGGGATCCCATCCAGGGCCGGCCGTGAATCCAGCATGACCGCACCCGGGGTTGCTTCCCTGCACGACATCGTTGAACATACCGGGGTTGGCGTACAGCCATGGATTTAGGAACCCAAGCGCGGGCTTTCCCGCCGCGATCAGCTTGTCGTTGATGAGAGAAATGACGGAGGCAAAGATGGGTGTGGAGCAGGACGTCCCGAATATGCCGTACTGCTGCCCGCCGGACACGAACACCACGTTCTCGCCTTGCGCGGAAACGTCCGGATACCCCCGGCCAGACGCGTTGAAGAGTCCTGAATTGGTACTACCCTGGGCTTGCAGGAAAGCAGCGACAGCGGAGGATTGGTAGTCGGCCACTGACGATACGTGCATGTCAGTACAGCGATCGTGCGAGATGGCATGTGAGAGAGACACGCACCACCCCAGTAGTTGGAGAAACCGCCGCTCGAAAAGTTGGACGCGACTTCCGGAGCAGAGCCCCTCACGGAGCCGACCGCAGTGAGATAGGGGCAGCCGTCCGGGAACGCGGCCCGGTACGTGGAGCACTTCTGAGCTTGGCCGCCCTCGACCCCGCCATCGCCTGACGCGAACAACACGGAGGTGCCTCGCGCGCCTAACCCAGCATAGGCAGCGCAGAGCTTGCTGGACACACATGTTAGAGTCCGCGAAATACAACTGCATACGCCGCGGATACTCACAAGGCGAGGGCTTGAGCGATGCTGGTTTCATCGTCGCCGTACGAGGTTGTCATCACCTGAGGAACGTTGCTTTCTGAAGAAAGAAAGTTCACGATGTCGAGGAAACCGCCCAAGTTGCCGTCCTGATACTGGTCGCCGACGGACACAAACGCGACCGGAACACCCGTGGCGACACCGACGGTGTACTGCACATCCAGGTTGGCTTCTATCCCGGCATATTGGACGCCCTGGGGATTGATGCCGCCATCGAGAGTCTGTGTAATAAAGGAGGTCGAGGAGCTGATGTCGCGGCGGTAGGATTCGAGGAATGTTTTCAAGTCGGCTTTCTGCGCATACTGGCCAATGAAGCCAGACACAGCAATGGTGTTGTTCGACTGGGTCGCTGGCGTCGCCGGGATACCATAGAGGTTCTGGAGGCAGGTGGGAGTGACCCCACCCGAGCATATTCCAGCTGCAGAAGGATCCGAGTTGGGCAACGACATGGAGAGAACCGGACCCATGGCCACCGGATTGTTGAATGTGGCCGCTGGGTGCAGGGCTGCCACGAAATCGGCGACTTCGGAAGGCACAGAAAACTCCAAAGTCCGAGGATAGGTTCTTCCCGACTCGGTGTGCCGGTATGTCTCGTAGTTGGCATTCAGCAGCTCGTTGGCCTCGCTGACAGGCACAGCGACCGAGAGCCAGTCTCCGGCGCTGTTGGACGTGGTGGTCAAGTTGTGCGCAGCTAGCCACGACTGGACGGCCGACGAGGCCTCTTCTGTCGGGGCCAGAAATGCGTCGACCTGTGGGAAAGTCGATCAACAACCCAATCAATGGACACAAGACAGCAGGCGGCACCTCTTGCTTGGAAAGGTATTGGCCATAGTGAGGGCTGCCAGGTGTGCTCACATCCCGCAACGCAGCTTCAAGACCGGCGACGTCACCCGAAGGAAGGGCGATCCGCAGATTCAGCATCGTAGAAGCATCGGCAGGACCGAGGCTGACAAACCCTGCTGGTGGGCCTGGATTGGACTCTCGAACGAGGAAATTACGAAAGGCAGGGCGAGAAACAGCGGCGGAAAAGAGCGAGGCGAAAACGAGAAGCGCGGTGGGCATGGAAGGAATGGGCGGGTTAGAGAGATGAGCCCCCAAGGCCGATCCGTTTATATGCATGCAGGATCATCCAATATCCCGTCAAGCGCAACGTCCACAGTGCGTGAGAGTATGCTGCGCAAGAGATCACCATTGCCGCTACGATCTCGTCGCGATCAGCGCACAACAGGAGCCGGAGCGGGGGGTAGTGCCCCTGACCCCATGCAGTGTCCCACTGCACACAAAATGTACGCGCAAGTCTTGTGAAGCTATGCGAATAGAGGCTAAATTGTCATACAACACTCGGGCTAGGCGCCAGGCACTTACCAAGCCGATCGGACTGGAGTTGGGCCACATTGAACCGGAGAATGCAACCCTGAAAACCATCAAGAATGTCGTGAATTCGAGTCGATTGGTGACGAGTATCTTGAATGCGGGAGCCAAGAGATCTGATTTCGCGCCGGGCAGTGCATTTTGCACCAAGCGCTGTTGCGGTCGGAGCATGGTTCATCATCATAGTCCAGTGAGATTCTGAACATGACCAGTAACTGACTGAGCAGTGAGCACAGCAAGGCTGATGTAACGGCAATGTCAGAGCACCGCCACTAATCCCGTGGGGCTTGGCGCATATCAATCCAATTGAATCGGCGAATGGTGCTCCAAGCTGCATACGTTTGAAAGTGAATGGACTGGTATGAGTACAGCGACTGTGGTAAATTCTGAGTGTAGCTCCCAGGTGCGGACATTGATGTCGACAGGCTCCCGCATTCTGAAACTTGGAGCCGAGTGCTGTCTCCTCGCCAAGTTCCAACACGGTTGCGTTCAGCATCCTCACGAGATTCGAAAGTGAGCCCTGCATGACGCTTCAAAAGCGCGGGCCGGGGAGCTTCTTCCTGGGAGCGGGGAAGAACGCACATGAAATCAGATGGTCGTTTACAGATCATGTATTGTATGTTGGCACAGCTCTTGCATTGACTCGAAAGATTTCAGTAGAGGTGTAACACGGCCTATAGCGGTGTATGTTGTGAAGAGGAGAACAAGGAGATGGGCACTGTCCAGGTGATGATCAGCAAGGCAAAGATCCCCATCCAGCTCTCTGCAAAATCCACGATTGTCCAGTTCTTAGAGAAAGACTTGTAGGATAGTCACGCTCAGTCCGCAATGAATGTTACTGATATGTCTCCGTGAATGGTGGGCTGAGTTAGGTCGAGGCCAAGAAGCTTCGGAAGGATGAGAGCGCGTTCGAAACGTCGGTGTGGGCGACAGTAACCCAGTAGATGGATAGAGGATTTGCGTAGGCAAGACGTGCCGGGGAAACTGGTATTCGAATGGAGGGCACCATACTCAGGGCAGAAGCATTCAGGTAAGTCGTAAGACAGAATTTCACTGCAACATGGCCAGAGTTAAGTAGACAGGTCACAGCTAGACTCGCAAAGTGTGATTGATCACTCCGAGTGGCCCGTCACGTTTTCGGAAGCAGACGGGCCGAAATGTTCCGAGATCCTCCCGTCACTGCTATGACATTCTTACCGCAGCGCATCATATGCATTCTATTCATAGCCACCACCATGAACCCTTCAGTCTTACAACAAGCATGCGTGTTTTCGGTTTCACCGTGTCGGGAAAGGATTGAAGCCAGGTTATCGTCCAGGCTGCGGCCCGGGCGCTGCTGTCGCGCACTTCGCTAATACGAATAGATGTGTGGTCCAAACCTCGACCCTCCTGGCTTCCGACCATGAAAGATGTGCCACTCATGCCTGCCTTGCGTCCGAACTCGCGGTGGAATTTGGGCTGCGTGTCCGATGGCTCTTGTCTCTGTTTCAAAGTGGTACTTGGCCACGGTGCACGCTTTCTCGTCGTCTTCTGGGCTTCTCCGCCCTGCATTCCTCGAGAAACAAAATTTATTGGCGCAAACAGGAACATATAACGATGTGGAGTACATCTCAGACCTGCATGCCCCGGCCATTCCTCTGCAGGCCAAGGGGCTGAATCCAATCTCAGACATAGTTCCGTCCCGCTTGCCTATAAAACAGGGAATGGTCACGAATACCCTCGCCAACATTCCAGATGGCACCTATGGTCGACGAGTATAATCCGAACCAATTCCCTTCGATTACCCGCATCTACCATGTTCCATTTGCCAGCAATGGACCTGGCTCCACTACGCCGTCAGCTACGGCTGTGACCACCTTTGAGATCGTTCTCGTGATCCTCGTCCTGGCACCTTTGCTGGGCCTTTTCCTAGCGAGCTTGTGCCTGTGTCTCCGCCGCCGGAGAGCACGGGTAGCCAGCTCGCCGCAGGGAGGCAAATCGGACCTTGCCTCCCGTGTCGATATCGTCATGCTCGGAGCAGATAATACGACATTCAAGATACCCGAGACGTGGAACAGCCCTCCAGTGAGCAGGACCTCCGATTCGAGTGATTTGAGCAGTTCGCTGACTTCCCCAGCTCAAATCGTCGTATAGCATCGGGCACAAGACGAACGTCACTCTTCTCAAGGAGATGCCTAGAGTCTGGAACGTTATCGGCCGGCAAAACGTCGCAAAAGAGGACGCCGAGTCGGACAGGGAAACCAAAAGATTCCCGAAGACGCTTGCGATGACGTAACCTCCAGGAAAGGCATCCCCGAAGTTGTAGTGTTTGGGATCTTTGTTCATCTTTGCTCTTGATTCATTCTTGGGTCGTTTCAGGTACCTATCAACAAGGACTGTGCACAAGCATCTTGTCGTAGAGTGAGGCAAACTTTGTGAAGGCATCCTCTGCCCTGTGAAAGCAGTAAACACTGCTGTGGCCATGTCGATTTCGGGTGGACATGGCTTCTCCGAAACTGAGTCAGACGAAGTCGGGCAGAGAATGTGTTGTGCACAGGAGTACTGATAGGCCGCTGACATGGACCCACGTGTATTCTTAGGAATGGAAGATATATCTGTTTCTACATTGTTTCAGCAGGTTTCACCCCGAATTATCATGAAACGGCTGTTGTCAATAGGCCGTGGAACTGACGACTGGAATAAGTCTGAAACATATGGTGAACTGTTGACGCCTCCAACGACACTCGCAGTCCCTTATGCTTCAAAGGGAAGTTGGAATGGTGTGTGGCAGGGAGAGGGCACGGTCTGGAGTCAGACGCCGTCAACCATCATCATCAGAGTTGATTATCGCCCCAAGGAGAACAGGACACGTTTCGCAGCGAGCCAGATTGATTACCATGACGTGCCCGGCCACCCTGTGTGGGAGGTTTCGAGTCAATTATGCCGAGGAAACACATCAATAAGGAGACCCACACATGTCCCGCCGACATTGCTGTAAAGCCTTTCAATTGAGATGCAAGCGAGGCGCTGAGAACCGTCACCAGCCGCATACCCATCTGGGTTCCGCGAACCTGCCAAATGCGGGAGAAGAGAGAGCGGACTGTGCGCACAGTGGCCTCTCCGTCGCGTCATTCCAAAAAAGGAAGGCGCAGAAGCTGTTGTCCCTTGCGCGTATTACTTAAATCACAGACGTGCTGAGACAATGCTGTTGCCAAAGAATGTCGACCCCAACTATCCACGCCTTGCTGCGATACCAGCACCACAACGAACAGGGGGGGCAATGCTGTGCCTTGCTCTGGGACATGCACAATCCGCCCCACACCGCATCACACATCTCCGCCCCCGACCGCCCGCTGTCGGCATTCGACCTCGCGCAACACGCGACCAGCCCGCCCGTCACCCTGCTCCGCATCACGTGTGGGATCTACCCCGAGTCGGCCTGGGTCTCGGAAGCGCGCAACTGGCTCGGCGTCACGGTGCAGAACGTGTTGGACGCGATCTACGACGCGCTCTGCACGCAGATAGAGTGGGCCGAGTGGATGAGGCTATGCACCAAGCAGCAAGACCGAGTCAATGTCGTCTTCGACACGCGATGGCGGAGCAGTCCGCTGCCGGATCAAATCAGAGCCCGCGGAGTGTTACGCATCGACACCCTCCTCCAGCACATCCGATTCGGGGGCCTCTCGATGTCGTTGGACGAGGAGAGCACATGCTTGATGTCGCTGAGACGGCCGAAGCGGTGACGAAGAACAAATCAGCTTCGTTCAAGAGCACAGGTAGAAAGTACAGGGAGGTATAGGCTACCAAGCAGCCCGTAGGTCAGTGCGATTTCCAAGGAACATCGCAGTGTCCAATCCAGCAGTCCAGGTCGTCATCAGACGCAACGGGCATGGCAATGACAGCCGTGATGCACAGCCGGTCTCGCGCCGCCGCCTGCATCGCATGCTTCTCGTGGTCCTGGCGGACCCCCGCAACCGTGCGAAGAAAGAATGAGGTTTCGGGGTTGGAAGGCGGAAAGGACATCCTATGCGTAGTTGCCACCACAGACAAAGGCTATGCATGTTGTGATACCCGCGACCAGAATATGAGCATACATGCGCGAACCTGTATAGCATCCCACCGCATAGCCCATGTCCCAGTTCCGCTCCACCGCGTCCTCTCTGCTATCGGGACATCAAAGAGGCGCGGCTTCATGATGACTGGGGCGCCGATTGGATCCGGTGCGTTCGTCCAGCGGTTGCAGACAATAAACACTCGCTGAACTAACCAGAGACCCAGATATGTCGCAAAGAACGCCAAAACCAGGAATAAGACGACAAGTGGGGCTGAGTTGATCAATGGGCCCTTGCTCGTGCTCTTAGCAGCATCGCTGCTCGCAGTAGAGGACGGTGAAGGCAAAGGCGTGTGGGTGAGTGTCTGGAGAGCCATGGGCTGAGACGAGGAGTCCGATCGTGTGCATGACAGATAGCGCACGCGACCCGTGAGCCTGAGGTCGAGACGGCTGTTTCAGGAAGCGAAGAAGCACTGTCGGTGTCACTGCCACGTGAGTGCATGACGCGATCACGTGACACTAATGAGGTTCGCTCCGAATTTTGAAAATCTCGCGGCCTGGTTAGAACAGTTGGAATTTTAGAGCCCTAGATACTTGAGAGGAAGGTTTATCACATTTTTAGCTGTATCAAGACTCTTTTCAGCTCATATTCCCTGCCTTACCACAATCAAGCTCAAGTCCACTGCTTGACTGAAGTAAGATGTCTCATTTCGTCATTGATTATATCAAACAGTATGATCAACTCAGCCATCTAGTTCTACGGATCATGTAAACTCCCCCAAGTGAATCGAGTACCCTTCCTAATTCCCTGAGACGTCCCTGAAGATAGACCGGGTCATGTGTGACAGGGCTGCGCGGGATTCCCACTGCAGATAGATAAGCATACAGCCGAAAGATTTCAAAGGGGAAAAATCGCTTACGAGCGGGTAGAAGATCACCACGAACGCGGCCGCAAATGTCCAGAGGAAGGCGAGCACGATGTAAAACGTGAACCCAGACTGAACAAAATAGATTGAGTATAGAATACTCGAGAGAAAGAATATCGGTACATACTTTGGACCAGATTCGCGGGATGACCATCAAAGCAGGGCTAAATGGCGTTTATCAATCGAGCTGCCTGTGACCAGGCATTCGGAATGTTTTAACTTACACTACGACGCAGAGCCTACAAAGGCCGTCAGATGATGAGCCAAAACTGAGCGAATTCAAGCACTCACACAACAAAGATCCCGATCGTCAGCCAGACAGAAAGCAAGAAGTCCTGGTGCAGCTTCTCGTCGGAGTCATCCTCGGCTTTGATAAATCCCTTCTCGAGAACGGCCTCTGAGACGGCAGCTTCGGCATCGACTGTTGCTTTGACCTCGTCCCCTTCCTCCGAGACGTTTCCGCCGACGCTCTCTTGCGCGGCAGCTGCGACGGCGTCCTCGGCTCGGAACGCATTCATCCTCCGCGTGATATCAAAGTCGAAGTTGTCGGGAAAGAGGAACGTCGTGCTCATAGAGATGATGGCCGCGATGAAGAACGACGCGGCATTGCCCGCGAGCTGTTCGTAGACTCCGCCGGTTGTGACGACGTCCACTGTTCCCTGTGTTGCGTCGATCAGGAGATATACGGAAAGCTGAGTCCTGGATGACGGACCCCGTGACCTTTAGCGGTGGCTAGCCACGCGGCCACTCCACAGAAGAATCCGATCCAAAGGCCAGCAAGACAGCCGTACTTGTTAGCCTTGCGCGATCGAATCGCAAGGCCAACGGGGAAAACCCCAGATGAGGCGAAGATCCCGGTGAAACCATCTATGTAGAAATGGCACGATCAATCTCAACTCATAAGCAGGATGCTGCAAACTTACACAGCCAAGAAAGAGAAATACCAATCTCGTAGAAGATGACGCCGAGAATACCCATGAACAAGCCAAATCCAACGACACCGGCATGCGAGACCCAGAGGATCTGCTTGTCGGTGGCATGTGGATTGAAGTAGCGCTTGTAGACGTCGTACGTCAGGATAGACGAAACTGCCACCAGCTCAGCGGATGCCTTGTTTATATAAGAATTATGAACGCGCTCGAGAGACTAGATGAGATCAATATAGCACTCACGGCTGACGTGACGGCCAGGAAGAGGGCAATCAACAGAAGCACAGCGCCGGATCTGCCTAACAAGGCGGTCATCGCGGCGGGTGCCACTCCGCCCGCCCCAGCCAGTGGGATGGGAAGGAAAGGAGAGGCGGGACCGGCCGAAAGGGAGATCATCCCGAGGCCGGCAGCCGTGGCGAACATCCAAGGCACTTGAAATTTATGAGGTGAAGATGTTTTCTTTAGAGCGAGAGAGCGAACCTGGAAGGAAAGCAAAGCCTCCGAGGATATATCCTTTGACGGAGGTGGAGGCCTTCGAGGCTACCGCGCGTTGCCTGATAAAAGTGAGCTTTCAAAATCTTGTATGATTGATTTAGCCAGAAGAATCACCAGTAGGTTTGATCCATGTAAACCTGTATGTTCAAGGATGAGTTTCCTTCGAAAATAAAAGCTCGTAAGACAAACCGTAGCGAATCTAGCGACACAGGTAAGAAAAAATCAACATCGCAGACGAAGACTCACCCAGAAACGATGACGACGACACCAAACACGAATCCATTCAACGAGCGCATCGTCGTGTAGGACCCACCCGCAGCATTCGCGACGGGATAGTTCGTGGCCGCTGTCTGGAGAAGCTCCCACACCTTGGCAGGCGAGCCTAGATACGCATTGGTCGCAAATGTGGAGAACGAGACCGCGAAGATGATGGCGAATATCAGCACCGTGTGGATATAGTCCGAGAAAAAAGCTGTTCAGTCGTTACGTGAATAATTGTGGAAACAGAGAGCTCAGTGAAGGCTTACTGGCTCTCAATCCTCCGACCAGTGTATAGATGACAACCCCAATCGGGATCAGGAAACAGGCTGCGATCGTGTTCATCCCAGTCAAATGGTTGACGGTATCAGCTCCGCCCGTGATCAATTGCGAGGTCAGACTAGAAGTCGCATTCAAGAACAAAATATTGCGAAACAAACGAAATGGGCCCACATGATGTCTGGATAGTAGATCGTTTGTTTAGAAACTCCAGTGGGCGAGATAGACAAACGCACTGGTTCCGAGCCCAAAGAACATGAAACTCAAATGACAAACTGTCCCCCATCTACAAAGAAATCTGGTCAGTAGTAAGCGTCAATGCAGAATTCTGAGGCTCACCGAAGACCAATCACTTCCAGGAACGTGTGCGCGCCGGGGGCATTTCGCTAAAACAGGTGAGCGCTGCTACAAGGAATTTATGTACAGTGCGTATACACCTTCAGCTGTATAGCATTCTGAGCGAAAGCCATCTTTGTGCGAAAAATCAATGTCAGTGTATGTCAGGTACCGTCCAGCAAATGCCTGCTTACGATCTGAGTCGACGAGCCCGCGGCATACCACCAAGGGCCGCTGAGTCCATACACCAGACACACGGTCGACGCTTGGAGCAACGTCGCGGCCCAGGTAGCTTTCTCAACCGTTCATCCTCCATATCGGCTTCGCACTGTGCACTCACCTGCAGAAACAATGCCGGACGCGATGAGGCCCGGCTTGAGCGATCGGCTGGCCGAAGTATACTCTTCCGAGCTGGACGAGGAGACCCCGGAGTAGCGGGCCGAGAGTTTGGTTATGGCTAGCATGAGCACGGCGAATCCGAGTCCCATCCCGAGGACGATAGCGTAGCCGACCCCGGACGAGAGAACGGGTGCGCTGGCGTCGATTTGAACTGTGGCCATCGTTGCAGACTGAGAGCGGGAGCGGGACTGGTCGGCGCCTCCTCTGCTGGACGCGCTCACGGCCTTTCTAGATAGGCTAAGGTCGATCTCGGCCGCGTGCGAATGGCCTAAGCGTCAGATAAGGAGATACACACACATCAAAACAGCACTAAGCTCTTATCTTATCAGTCTTATCGGGCTGATGTTCGTTTGGCTTGCGCGCCCAGCTCGGTCTCGGGTGGCTCGGGTACATGGAGATAATTCGCATCTTGACCTAGTTTGACTTTCCACTTGGCTGACTCGGGGAATAATTGATGAGTCCTGCTCAGAGCTTCCTAGCTAGGGTGCAGAGTAGACTCTGTCCGAGAGCCTGTTTTTTCAAAGAGTCAGGGGTGATCCATGAGACAAATACCCGATTCGACAGTTTTTAAGCCTGGCGGGGACCAACACAAAAACCGTTTTGGGTGCACAGGGGGGAGTAAATTCATAAGCACAACTTCAACCTTGGGTTCAGTGCCAATTCACAGATCCCCAATAGAGTCACAGTTACAGAATTTCAAGCACAAACTTGAAAGTCCATCGAACTGCTGACTGGGATCACGGCCCGGGGCACGGCCACTGATCCGGGTTGCTATTTGCCTTTTGTCGCCATGTTCCCCGTCTTCGGGGCTCACTCGAGCCGACGACGGTGGCCTTTGAAGCTGATCATCGGCCTCTGTACCCTCCTCTCGCTCGCTTTCCTCATCATTATCTACACCTGGGAGAAGCGACAGCAGTCACGTGGAGAAGCAGTGCCGCTTGCAGATCAATTGCCCGGAGTTGCAGTTGGATCAACCACCGTGACGGCGGAGGCAGATCGACTCCAACCCAGTGTCGTCTCCGAGCCACCACATACCACGAGCGCCCGTTCAGAGCTTCCGGGACCCCACCCCAGTCCGTCCGCGCTCGCATATGCATCCGCGCTGGGGCAATCCTCGCGTGCTTCCGCGCCAGACGTGGCACGCTGGGCGCCTCTGAGCCTATCTGCCTGCCTCCCGGGGATGGCCAACGTCTCAGCCCCGTGCTACGCGCAGGTCTCACTCCCGCATGCTGTCTACGCGGAGGAGCTGCTGTACCCGGATTTCCAGATCCGCGAGCCGTGGTTCGCGCAGGAGGTGCACCGGGACAGATGGCTTGCGGCGCTAGAGAAGGACGCCGAATTCAGACAGCGGGCTGCGTTCGAGTTGGATGGATGGGTGAGCTATAGAGGCCAGGTTGGCCAGAATTTTGTGCGTCGCGCCCCACTCTTTTTTTTTTACCTCAATGAGTTCATTCATTAAATCGATCAATAGATATTCAAAAACGCTGTGTATGAAACAGGTGCTCAAGCTGTTACCGGCTGGAGCTCCAAGGCCTGCATGTCCCGGGGTGTATTAACATCTCCGATACTGTCGCCCGAGGAATGGTCCATTCTCTCGACTATTCCGCGCACGAGACCCGGCAGACCGCCCATAACCGAACCAAGGAAGATTCTAGGACATTATCCGGTGCTTTCGATTGTGCTCACACCTGACGCATCGACCTTCCAGCACTTTCTGGACCGTGCGACACATGTTATAGCCCAAGGCGAATATCTGCTCGATGGGCCTGCCGAGGGGAGATATGTTTTGACGGCCAGACCAAATCCCTATAGCGTTCAGGAGCTCTGGACTCGACTTGGCTATCCCTCTGGCCAGATCGTCGGAGCGTCCAAGAACTCGTATTATGCCGCCGACGTCATGGCGTTCTCTTGCCGGGCAGTTCTGGTTCATCCGTGGCTGACTTTGAGGACACGCGAGTTGCTCAACGTTCACAATGCGACAACATCAAACATCCGAAACAAGGCAAATTTTATTCTTTGGATTCATGGAGAGGGCTGATCTGTGTGTTAGATTGTGTACATGTCGAGAGAGACAGGACACACATCGAATCGCGGTCGCCATGTCATCAACGAAGAGGCTGTCCTCAAACACCTCACAAATTATCTCGCTACCCGAAACAGGGGAGAAGAACTGGTTGTTTTCGACCACGACTCGTTCAGCTATTTCTCCGAGCTGATAGACTGGGTCTCGAAGAACGCGCTCGCCATCGTGGGGCCCCACGGCGGTGCCATGTTCAATCATCGCTGGTGTGTGGATCTCTCGTCATTTATCTCATCATTCATCACGAGCGACGTTAAAAGGGCAGCTCAAGACACGCTCGTGGTCGAATTCATCCCCGACAAACATGTTCCTGCGATGATCTGGGAGGAAGTATCCATGCTCTCGCAAACGTACGCCGCCATCGTCGTCAAGTCGGTGAGACAAGGCCGGGGCCCAGAAACAGATATGGTCATTGATCCCCGGGACGTGGAAGACTTGTTGGCGCGTTTTCTGGACGGCCGCGAGAACAGGAGTCTTCCTCTGAGAAAACCAATTTACCCGTGGGATGGAATGGAGGTGCGGAAACCTGGAGCTTAGAGCTTAGAGGACGATTAAACATGCTAGATCTCTTGATCAGCCAGGAGCTATAAGAGACGTAGCCATTGAGCGCGATATAAGCTCAACACACCGAGAAAGCATCATTCATCCCCGAGGTGGCATGTCTCATTGCCGAAAGGAAATAGGAAGAAGTCAGAGGAGACTCAAAAGCGGTGCCTTTTCTTTTGAGTTCTTATATACGGATATCCTATCATGTTGAAGAAACCCTAGGCGCGGGTGTGGTTGGCGAAGAATCCAAAGCGCGGGCTACGGCATAGTTGAGGCCCGATGTGTGTACAACGACCAAGACCTGGTGATGAAATTTGACTTACGCATTATCAGCGTTCCGTGAACGATTACTCCGCTGGGCACCGTGAGTAAGTCGCGTTCCAGTCCGAAAGTGATTAAGATTGAGAACACTGGGTTGTGGTCACAGTCATATGATCCGTGACTACACGCGTGGGAGTCACAATGAAGTCCGAGTCACACGAAAAATCATCTTCAGCGCATCCGTCGGATAGTCAATCACGCACATGAACCGGGTCACCATATCTGGCACCCATGAACCCCTATCCTTTCCATAGCACGCATCCTAGCATAGCAATGCCCTTCATCTATTCCCCGACAAGCGCTAGGAGTTGGCCACTCGGATGTCCGCCCTCGACTCGGATAGTCTGACGGGCCTCCCCGCGCTTGCCGCTGGAAAACCATTCGTGAAGGGATACGCTACCTACTTGGGTCATCTGGCAAAAACGGATCCGAGACTAACTCATGCATGCTTTGACGTCGGAGAAGTGATGCGATTCGACGTGCGCGCAGGTCTTCCTCCCGTTGGCGTCTTCATTCGAACACTAGGCGTTTGTCTCCGATGCAGCTCATCATTTGTACCACATTCTTCTGCTAGTCCCTCAAGGGTGGCATTGGAATCGCTTCGCTAAGGTACGTGCCATGCATTTACTAGCGGTGATTCATTGCTGACCCTCCGAGATAGCCGTCGTCTTCCTCGCAGCAATCGGGGGCACACAAGCAGGGTGGGCGTTCCACGTTCGTAAGATCAACACGCACAAGCGCGTGACCATGCTCGACCGAGCGTATTCTTCCAACCTTCGACCAGCCAATCAAGGGAATGGTTGACGGCATGAGATTGAAAGCAATGTACAGTTAGTTGACCTATTTATACCCAACGTATCTAAGCATAAGTACACATCCAGATATACAGCGTCCATGGAGTTCTGAATCTACGTCTTTCACAGATGGCTCTGCGCCTGACTAGGCTCCGCCTCGACCAGACCCAGCATGTGATCCACGATCTCCTGGGGCGTGGTCACATGCCAGCTCGCCAGGGTCCGCTTGCTGCTGGCGCCGACTGCAGTCGTGAACACGCAATCGGGAGAAATGGCCAGCTCTACGGGAGAAGCATTGGCGAATTGGGGCTCCACAAGCGTCACCGACAGCGGAGCTTCCATCGAGGCTTTCACAGAACCAGTGCTGAACAGTATCAATGCACGGAACATATCCTCGTCGGTCTTAGTAGAATGTCAGTACGCAGCAGCAAGCAAACGGAGAACACCGTACCTTGTCATCGCCAGCACAGAAGATGAACTCGGCGTCTGGGTTCTTGTACAGCAACCGTTTGACGATCTCGCCCTTGTTAACTGCAATGGGTCTGACCTCCAGATTCTTCTTCCCGACGAGGACTGGACAGACGTAAGTACACCGGCACAAGCTCGACAAGATAACAAACCTTCTATAGGTCGCTTATGCGCCAAGTTGTTTTCCAGCAGATCCTGGCACTGTCGGCATTGGAACTGACTGTAGAACATTGTCAGAACACATCCAGTTGCGCCAACACAGGACAACTGACCCCCATTCCGGATCACTTGCCCGGTAATGCCACGTAATAGAGCTTTTCTTCATCTCGATATGACTGCCAGTCGTCCGCTGCGACTCGTCAATGTGTGATTCCAACGAAGAGACATCCGACGACGCGCACCTCGGTGTAATACCGGAAGATCTCCTCGACTTCGCCCATCCAGCTCATATCCAGCTGTTCCGTGAAATTCGTCCACGGCTTGCCCTCGCCCGGTTCGCGCACAAATCCACCGTGCTCAGCCGAAAACCCGACCAACGGCAGATGACCCAGATGCTGCTCCAAGAAGGCACCATCCCTTCCGGAGATAATGTAGACCACGTTGCGCGGATCTTGAGACAGCTTCTCCAAAGCCTGAAGCGTCGGGCCCGATGGTACCGCCATGCTCGGGACCTTGACGATCGGGGCAAGCGTTCCCTGGAAAAGACCAGACGGCGTCACAAACACCGCAGCAATGAGTAGAGACGTAGACGCACATCGTAGTCAAAGAAGAACAACCGCTTCTTTGCGGCGTGGTACTTGCTTTCGAGCACGTCTTTCGGAATATAGGGGGTCTGGCGAGCAGTCTCCAGCCCACCGAGCTGGCCAAGCAGTATCTTGGCAAGGACTGCAGCCCATGTGTGTGAGGTGTGGGTCGTGACCACTTTGTGTAATGCGGTGTGCCGTTCGAGCTTTTCGGGCTCGGTCATGAGGAGTCCCTGATTGATGGCAACGGCCACATCCTTGCAACAACATGAGCGACAGTCAATCAAGGACGGAATACGCACCCCGAGATTCCATGGGTTGACCATCAAAGCCTGCTCCATGTGCTTGCTGATGCCCATGAACTCGCTCAGGACGACCGGGCTCTTTTTCGTTCGGCTCTGCGCAACCACAAACTCCATCGAGGTAGTGTTCATCCCGTCTCGCAGAGGCGTGATCACAGCAAGATCTGCAACACTAAGCAACGCGTAGAACTCGTCCTTTTTGAGCGTTTGGTGGCTAGAAGTGGCAGCAGCCTTAGCACAGAACAGACAACAAACAAAGACGCGCACTAGTGATGCACCGGAATGAAATCTAAACTTCCGAACTCGCCGTTGATACTGGCCACGATTTCGCTTATCTGCCGCTCCAGTTTCGGCGAATCCGTCAAGGAGGGGGATGTGACCTGTATGAGGACGACGTTGCCAACCCATTCAGGGTAGTCCTGTAACAACTTTCGGAACGCTTTGAGCTAGGGAACACGCGTCAGCCGTTTCTGGTAATCGGAGCATCCTCCGCCTACCTTTTGCAGAACGCCCTGGACCACATCAAGCTTATCCCGCCCGACGATGATCTTCTTTCCCTCGTACAATGTGCGCAAGGCGTCCAGCTTTGGCTCGATCCCCGGTCGCAGAATATCCCGGCCGACACGTTCTGCATCGACACCGACGGGGCAATGGGTTACTGCTGTGACGTGACCTTGAGCATCGATGCCACGAGGAGTGATCTCGTAGCCACAGACGCGGATACACGTGCTGATGAAATGGCGCGTGTAGGAATAGGTCTGGAAGCACACAACATCGGCACCGCACATTCCGTCCAGGATCTCTCGCCGACCTAGAGCCGAATCAGTAACGTCACGAGAAAAGATACTGGTCACCACTCACGAGGGAGACAGCGGAACACCTCGCTGCTAGGGAATGGGGTGTGGATGAAAAGCCCGAGAACGGCTTCAGGAATGAGTTCGCGGACGAGTTTAGGGACGAGCAGAAGATGATAGTCGTGGATCCAGATAAGGTCTCCTGGGCGATAAACCTCTGCGATCCGAGCAGCAAACGCGGCGTTAGCGGCGGCATACGCATTGTAGTCGGACTCTTGAGACGTATCCTCCGATGCGATGTCCTGCCACAAGAGGTAGTGGAAGAGTGGCCAAAGTGCTAAATGCTCGGGCTGAGCACAGGTCATACAGATACAAGTGTCAGAAACAACGCACTGTGCTTGCAATAACCATCGTAATGCCCATGGGCGACTTTGCCGTCCAGCCAGACGGGGACGTAGGTCGTCTTGCGGTCATCGTCAGGGTCCGACTCTTTCGGTTGGTAGGTACGCAAGATATCTTCCAGTGCCTTCCGATCCCCATCCGAAACCTTGTCCACAGAAACGACCTCGCCCTGCACTGTTGTTTGGATGTCTCCCGTCCAGCCGATGAGCAGCTGCTCGTGCGTTGCGTTGAGGGACGTGATACCAGATATCATCGCAGCGTGCCCATACCGGGGGACCAGCGACCACGCAGTGGGCGCCCCTTTTATGGTGCTCCCCTCCGGTACGGAAGTGGATGCCTGGGTTGGCGGGGGCGTCGCAGGGGGGCTAATCACTCCCGAATTCGCATTGAGTGTCGCTATGATAGGGAGTGAGTGGCAGACGTGCAAGACCCGTCCAGAGAGCGGGATGCCCGCAGCACGATGGTCCTCCTCCAGTGCACGAATCTGCTTCCGGACCTCGTCCAATGAGATGTCGTCTCCGATACGGGTGTAAGGTTCTGCGAAACTATCCATCGTCCGTACTTGCTCTATCGTGAGTAGATGGTGGAGGATGGGAGAGGGACAGATGTGGCGGGTGATTCGGGTATATGTAATGGCACAGTCTAGCTGTCGTGCGTTTCTATCTTGATTCTTGCAATGGCCGTTCCGGGAGAAAGACAGGTGAGATTTCTCGCTGACGCCTAAACTAGGCAATCTATGACGGTATGGCACAGCCACATGATGTCTCAGTTCTGGACATCATGGTCCGAAATCACCCCGCGACTGGCGACCCTGGCGAACGTGCCGGGGGTTGGCTCTTCTTGTACCAGTGATGGACGGTACCGAGGGAACGTGTCTGCAGTGTATTGGGTCGTGCCAACTCCGAGACTTTCTAAATGTTGATCAGGAGAAGAGTTTCCCCTTGCCCCTGCATGTCGAAAACAAGTCGGTCCCTTTTGTCTGATGTATAACCAATTACGTAGCTTTCTCGCACTCCCCAAAGTAATCCAATTTCCGTCAGCCGTTTTGAGCCCATCGCGTTAGCGATCGTCAAATTTTCGGAGACCATGGTCATCAAGTTTGCGCGTCAGCCGTATCGCGTGAAATTTTTGTCACGGGCACGTGCATGTGCATCTTACTATGTGGTCTCCTGAGCGCTGAACATCACTACATACTTCTGCCAAACGAGAGCGTCATTACAACACTGTCATCAACCATCCGTCACCTGCACTTCAGTTTAGTCAGTGCCACGATGAGAATCGTAACAGAAGTTTTACATCAGAGCTCAGCATACTGTGCCATAACTTCCGCGGAAAGCATACATCCGATTGGATTTCAAGCTCGGGCCTAGCTTCAGTCTAGCTCTGACCACCAATGATCGGTGCGGAAAGCTTCTGATTCTTATCGGAACGATGAGGAAGCCAGCCGATCTTCCTCTTGATCACATCGAGGAATAGAAACATGAAGAAACTAGTAACGTACAAACAACTACTGGATAATATACAGACGGTCGTCGAGGACAAAAGAAAGAATCAAAGAGCAAGCCCATATTGTTTCGCGATAAATTTCCCCAGATATTGTACCAATTCGGCAGTCTCCTCTCCAACAGGGCGGATCCAGGAGGCTGGCAGGGAGAATCCATATGTCCCCGTGTCCCGAAGGAATGCGGCATACGCATATTTGATATTTGCGATTTTATAGACATAATCCAGGAAATTGCCAGGTGCGCTAGCATAGAGGTCAAACTCGCCAGACTAGAGAGAGAAAAAGAGAAAATGCCGCACCGATACAATAATTCGCAAAGTGTTCCTGTCTGTTATATCATGAGCAGAATCCAATATGAGAGGAAAACTTGACTGACATCGAATTGTGTGCCATGGATGCTTTTTGCCGCTTGGACAGCCCCATGCAACGCTTCCATCTGGAATTCCGCGTCCTTAGGGAATTTGTTGCATTTATACGAGAATGGCGCCGCCACTAGGCAAAGGAGAGAAATGAGATTCGGATTGAAAAAATGCAGCGAAACGAAGACTGACCCATTTGTCCGTAACTTCTTAAATCAAGAAATGCCACAACCCCACCTTTCGCACCTTTACCGACACCGCCGATCTTCGTTATATAATTCGCGATATTATTCACTTCTGGGGATTCGAAAGCCCTGTGACCCGGATACCAGTGCGAACAGGGATCAGCAGGCTCCTCTTTCTTAGTGTTCGCTTTGATCAATGGGTGATCGGCCTCGGGTTTCCATTTATAGCCCTTGGAAGACGTATCAATAGAGCGCAAGAGTTTGGAGATAGATAGATACCCAGTTCCTAACACGAGGAGATAAGATTGCAATTTTATACGTGAGAAAAGGGCCCACCGGTTCATATCTATCCCAATGCATTTCGCTTGTGGTCCAACTATCTGTCGATTTTTGTACCTGTAGATCTTTTCAATAACAATATATTTTAGAAAACGGTCGAAAGCTCACCAGAAACGATCGCTTTTCCATGTGTGGACATAACCGTCTGGATTCGGCGATGGTATGATGTGAAAATCCTTCCAAATCGAACTCAGATTTGATCGATCCCAACGAAGAGGCACCCACATAGACATCAAGTAAATGAGAGAGGGAGCGAGGCTCGGAAGAATTAGAGAGGAGGGCATGAGTGATATAAAGTGCAGTCGACGTTGCGACCCACTAAACACCGAATGTCAGCATGTCGAAATCGAAGCTGAGAATGGCAAACCTCGCGTGCATGTTGTGGCCCCATGATCACAAATCCCAGCTTCTTTTTCCCAGTCTCCTTGGAAATCTTCAGACCCAGCATCTCTCTTTCTTCTGCGGTATGCCCCAGTGTGAGGAGAGTGACGAGCGAAGGGTGCAGGCGACGCAATTCGAGCATGAACGCGTCGACATCGTTTTGCGTATGATAGCTTGCATGAAAGGTTGAGTTTCCAAGCGTTTCCAGTCCCCAATCGGACGGCGAGAGTTCAGAACGGGACGGTGGAATGTCGGACGAGACGTTGCTTGATGAATGAGGAAGGCGAGCGAGCGAGAGTGGGAGAGCGGAAACATTTTCAGGGGTGTATATATCCACAAATCTGCTCGAATCTGTTCGAATCTGCCAGATATCGAGCGCGTGAGACTGAACATGATTGGTCGTGTGAGCACCACACTCGGCATATTGGCTGCAGGGCGACGCACCTCAGCCTCGGACAGAATCCCTCCGAGACTTTCTGCATCTCTGAATTTGAACCTATGAAGCACTCCCTGGCTGCTGAGTGGCTGTGGTGGGGTGAGGAAGACGTGCTGCTCAAGCGCAGGGATCAGACTCGGAAGGGAGACGAGCATTCCCAAGAGGGCACTGTGCAGCGCAGAGAATTTCATGATGGCGTGATATGTTCGATTTCACGTGAATATCAGCGTAATGAGGCTTTCGAGCAAGGTCGCTCTCTGCCCTGAGCGGAATGAGAGTGGAGGGGAGAGAACGTCGGCAACTTCCGCACATCAATCAACTTTGCGATGACGGCGATCAATGTCGCGACACAGTCACATGACATCCTCTTTTTGTTTGTTTGTTTGAATCTGCATTTGTATTCCGCAACAAGTAAACTAACTACTAAGACGCGGTGCCTGTAGGCAGCTGGGAAGGGGGTACCGGCTGGACTATTCAGCCGTTGGGAGTGTGAACGTTTGGTGACGCGGATGTCGTTTGTTGGGGTTCCGTGTGGGTTTCGAAGCACAACATAAACATAGGTCCTGGGCCTGGGGCATGGGACATGGTCATAGGGGGGAGCGGGGTGGTTGGCTTGGCCAGACATGACATCCTCCATGCCTCAGTCTTCGTCTAGATGATAGTAGATTATGACTTCAACTTCAAGTGGATTGAGATTCACGAGTGATCCGCAGGCGTTTTAGTATGCCCTCATAGTTGAGATACTTGACCTAAATAATTCTCTCTCGAGGAAGCCGGATTGAACTACAAGTAGTTAAGAACCAGCGTTTGGCGATTTCTCCTAGATTTGAAGATGGAACGCTTCAAAAAGAGTGAATCCATAGAGACTTCTAATATTGAGAGAAAAAGCATCCTGGCCATGAGTCTGTAAGGGCTTCAAAGTGGAAGTGATTTCGAGCCTCAAGCTAGCGTCACATCATTTGTCACGCGGCCAACGCTCGCTCAGCCCCTGCGATGATGAATCCGCGTCTTGGATCCCCCGAGTCCCTCTCTCACTATGCCTCGTCATTTTTCCATACTTGACCGTTCATTCAACGTTGAAACCAGCTGCGCCGAGGCATGGGGTCCCTATGAGACCTCTAATGATCCATTGATCACTGATTGGCGCCCATTCGTCGCGCTCGAGTCAAGCTCGACTTGTTTGACTACCAACCATCTGTCATGCAAGGATGAATACTGACTCAGAGCAAGTGAGCGCTCGACTCTCTTAAAGTCGAGTGGTATTCGGCCCTCCTCCATCTTCACCACGCATGTCTGACGGGAGTGCCCAGTTCGACACCGACTCCGAGGCTTCTCTCACCTACGATTTGCTCGTTGTCACCGATGCCACAGCTAGTATGGGCGGATGTATGTATCCTTTGTGTCGCGAAGTATGAATCTGCCCACACAGTATCCAGATCTGGACGCGCTGCGCCAGTCAATTCCTGAAATCCTCGCTCTAGCCAAACTTTCAGGCGCTTTTTCTCGCGTGGGCGTTCTCGCCTACAAAGACTATAGTGACGAGACCGAGCTTGTCAACTGGTCTGGCTGGAATGTGCCCAACCTGTCCTCATTCGTGCACGATCTGCAATCCACCGGCGGTGGCGACTTCCCCGAGGCAGCGAAGACAGCCCTCATCCGCGCGCTGCAGAAGGTCGACGCGAAAAACGCGCAGACACTCGTGCTCTGGTACGCCGACGCTCCGCCTCACCACCCAGTTTTCACTAGCCACCTCAACGACGTGGCGGAGAAGCAGGCTTTCCCTGAGGGTTCGACGGACTGGGTGAAGCTGTGTCGAACTGCGAAACGCCGAGGGTGCACATTCTTCTGCTTCACTCCGCAGGGATTGGACACACAGTACTCGTCGTTCTACGTGCTGCTAAGCGCGCTGACTGGTGGAATTTGTGTTGCTTCTAGGGCAGGGGAGAATGACAGCAAGACGCTGGCGAGGCTTTCGGTGGGGATGGTGATGCACTGGATGGGTCGCTCGACGGCCACGTTTTCCGACATTTTGGAGCAGTCAAATGCACGACTTTTACGATACGTCAATCCTCCGATCGAGAAGCTCACCGATGAGGGAAAGGGCGCTAGGGGATACCTTCCTGCGCGAGTCGTTGGGTCAAGTCGGGACGTCTGGCTGGCGCAGAAGATCTCCAAGCTCCCTCTGGGGTTGGATCACATACCTATCAGACATTCGATGAAAGAAAGCTTCGATCCTGGCAAGCGGTTCCTTGATCCCGGCGAGACGACATACCAGGCCATGGTCTACGAATCGCTCGCAGAGATCATCACCACGAATGTTGCATGTCTGACTTACAATCCCATCTTCGGGCAACTCTGGCGAGCCGTCTGCAGGGTCAACAACGAGCGCAAAGCTGCGTTGGTGAACCTGTTCAGCGCCCAGGTTGGGAGGATTGAGGACGTGGAGCAGAAGAAGGGACTGAAGCTGTGGCTGGAAGAGAGCTTCGACCAGACGGAAGAGATCGACAAGATGATCCAGGCCGCTGCCAGTCGCCCTGCAGTTTATCTGGACTTCGATGCAGACGTGAAGTTGACCCGGACGGAGCTATTGGAGGTCTCTCATAGCTGTTACCCTGGAGTTTTGAAACGCATCGGGAAGATCTTCACTCATCTCAAGGTGCGTGTTCTCTCGTGCCATTTGTATGCTTCTGTGACAAGTATTCGTTGTAGCTGGTCGAACCTGGAGTGACACTGGGCCCAAACGAACGTTTCGTTCCTCTGTCCCTCTCTGCCTCAGACGTGTTCCGCACGCTTCCTCACTTGATTGTCCCCGGAACGCTCTATCCTCACCGTGCCGCTGCGCTAATCGCCATTGTTGCTCTTGTCACGGGTGTGCCGTTCCTCGCTGACTTGGCCAAGTCGTTACTTGCAACATTCAAGGGGAAATGGCTTGATCTTGAGGTTCCAGAGAACATCAGCTTCGATTGTGCAAGGCTTCTGCTGTCAGCCCCGGAGGGCATCGTGTTGACGAGACAAGAGAAGCGGGTATATGAGATGATGAGACGTTACAGGCTCATCGAGGCGAACCTCGACGCTCCAGTGCAAGTCAAAGTCCCCTGGGCGCCAGCGAAGACGAGGGGGTGCGGTGATATGAAAGTTCGGTGCAAGATGTGTTCGAAATTGTGAGTCGCTGATTGTTTTGTCTCTTGTCTCAAATTGACGAGGATGAAAGTCGCAGTGTGACTATAATGTGCCATGATCGAAATAATGTTTGTGGACACTGCTCCTTCGGTGATGGAGACAGCTATCCTGAATACTCTGATGTGAGTTTTAGGCTTTGTATTTTGCACCAGCTAAGATTCTCCAGGAGGAAAGCTGCTGGGTAGAGTGTTCTTCGATGAAGTGTCGGGCCCAGTACGTTGTCGATAACGTGGCTGGATTGAGAGTGAGCTCGTCTCTTGTCTCTCACCCCATGCCATTTACCGTCAACAGATCCGCCCTCGCTGCCATTACTGTCGCACCCACATTTCCTGCCCTTGGATCGAGTGCTCGGTCTGTACCAACCGAGTGATCATCCCAGAGGCCTATCGCACAACAGCAGCGGACAAGTTTACGTGTCCAGGCTGTACCAATGGAGACTGGGCCTCGATTGCATCACAGGAAAGCACGGTCCGGGCGATCAATAAGGAGAACGGTGTGGGCTGGCTTGGGATGGTGGCCGATGCGTTTGCCGGAAAGTCTGCCTTCAAGCTCATGCAGGCTTCCGGGAAAGCTGCTTTCGGATTTGTGCCTCGACATCGATCTCTTTCGCTTGTGCTGGGCCAGAAGAAGGTGTTCAACGCTGCCGATGTGTTGGCTCAGGTCGAAGCGAGGGACTCTGTGTTCCTCGCCACTTGTTCGTTGTGTTTCGAGGATGTACGCTCAGACAAGCTCGTGCGGGCCTGCGGTCGGACCGGATGCACCCAGCTGGTGGATGAGCGGTATCTCAAGGAATGGGTGAGCGGTGATCTGGATCTGAAATGGATAGCATCTGACCAGTGCCTCTTGCGCAGTACGGCGGGAACGCTCCCGGCAAACTGCTCAACTTGATGCAGTTCAAGTGTCCGTTCTGCCGCCGTCAGCCACTCCTCAAGACATTCATGCGCTACAACCGGGCTGCGGCGGCACTCAGTCAGGTCAAGAACGCATTCGGGAACCGCCGGTGGCTGTATGCCTGGTGCACAGATTGCGGATCGGCCCAGCGGGCGTTTGAGCGCACGGCGTGCTCCGACCGGGAGCTTCCGCCCATGGCGCCTGGCTGGTCGTGCGAGGATTGCACTGTTTCCCAGACCATTGACACCTTTGGCGCACGACTTGTGCAATGTCCAAACCCGTCGTGTGGAATGCACATTGATCTCATTGACGGGTGTAATCATGTTGTCTGCGTGTGCGGCACTCATCTATGCTTTGCCTGCGGGGAGCAATTCGAGTCGGATGCCATCTACGAGCATATGGTCCAGGCTCATGGGTCCATTTTCGCCGAGGTGGAGGAAGAACTTGATGAATACTAGAGTAGTCGCGCCTTTTTCGTACCATTTTAATTTGATCTACTTTCCTCGATCTCAGATGCCACGATAGACCTCGGGTATAATCCATGCATTCTGGGACGCCGTAGTACCTAGAGCCTACTCTGGCCTTTGATAGCATTCGCCTCGCGCCATATGTTGTCTACAGAGCGCCAATATCTCTCAGGGTCGGCAAATGCGTGCCGGACATGCGCAGTGCCGCTGAACTCCTCCGTCGTCACGTTCAGGCCGTTCTCTCTTGCTGCACGAAGATGCGCCCGGACGCGCGACGCAGGGATCACGCGGTCGGCGTCGGAGAAGATATACAGCCGCGGAGTTGCCCTGTCCATCCATGGAAACAGGCTCGGATTCACAAGAGCCGGCACGATCGTATCCTGGGGCATCTTCCCTAAGCAGATGGCTGCACGAGCTTGCAGATGGGTAACGGCCAGCTCTGCCACTCCCAGAAACACCAGTCGCCGTAGACCAGCAGGAACGGATGCCGTGACCGCTCTGCGGAGGTCGACACGGACATAGCTGCCGGGACCGGAGTCGAAGACGAGCGCGAAGGGTACTTTGTGTGAGGGCGGAATGCTGGGGATATGTCGTTTGTTGATGGCGAGCGAGAGAAGGTACATCTGCGCTGCACCGCCTGCCGGGCGTGCATCAGTTTCTATCTGATGTGCGAGCACGGACAACGCACCTCCAGACATCACGTGGAATAGCATGGGAGGCGGGGCAGCGCTGAGAACACCGTACTCCGCAAGCAGATCCACTGCTGGGCCAAGCTTCGCGATCTGGTTGTGTCGCCGTCCTTAGTAATGTTATAAGGAACAGAATGCGCATACGTTTGCCGCCTGGATACCGGCCACCGTCTGAAAGTCCGACTGGATGACAATCTGCACGGCGCTGGGGTACATCGACGAGTAGCGTGCGGAATAAGATCTCAAATGGGACAGTTTGGCGTGGACTGCCACGGAAGTTCAGAGATAGACGACTGGCAAGAACATAGTCTGCGCACACCACCCCAGGAATACTACGATGCTGGTCCCAGATTGGTGAGCCGGTTCCTTTCGAAAGAATGTGCTCACTGAGGATGACTCTTGCACGCAGCTAAGCCTTGGGCTTTGGATTCAGGAGCGATCACGAAGGCCAGCTGGGTTGGAGACATGATCGGGTGCAGCTGCGACTTGTGCTCGATGGCATTATGGTTTAGCAGTCGCTGCTTCGACCGATTACAAGCGAGTAGATCTTCGAGTACACAACTCGGAGTGGCAAGTCGCTGTCCAATTCGGGCTACCTTCAGGACTGCCTGTCAGCGAAACTGCTCGCCCCCGTTCTGCAGACAGTGAGCGCCAAGCTAAGTTGATAGGGAACGACTCAGCTCGTTTTTACACAAATGATCAAACGCTGGTATGTTCGGATAAAAAGTCCAGACTAATCGTCCGAGCAGGCAGGACAGATGAAAGTTACTCGAACGGGGTTTGCAGCCAAGGACTGACGATCGCGTCCTTTCGCTTTCCGCTTCCGAGTCCATCTGTAAAGTAAATGACACATCACCACAAAAATGCACCAAGTGAAAGAGTGCGTGGTTTGGCAGGGACTGCAGTAGATGGGGGCAAAGGAATGGCATCTTGAACTCGTCGGTGGGTAGTAGCCACCAATTGCGGAGGCCAACTGTCATCATGCGTGGCAAGACTTTCCTTTATAGAGCGTGGGAGCTTGGACTCGTATTGGATTCCAGTTCACCATGGGGCGGCGAATGCGCCCTAGACCCATGACTGCAGCCCTAGACCCATGACTGCAGCCCAACGCGCTCCATGTCTACTGCTACAGCCGGGCTCGGGAAAGAGTTCCCGTGATGAACCAGCCGGTTGATTTCTCGTGAAAGTGGTCAAATGAAGTAGAAATTCGAAGTCGCTCAGTTGTTTGTAGTCCATTTGGATGGGAAGGATCGACGAGGCAATCATCAATGATCACAAAAAGTCACAGATAACGTGATAGTCACGACAAGCCGGCTGCTTTCCGATTATCTACAGTGGTCACCCCTAACTCTCTCAACGTTTTGCCCACACCACTTGAGAACGTTCCTTGTGGATGAAGGATATTTAACTCATTTCCAAGTTCTGTAGAAAGTTGATCTATCTGGCATTCCGACGAGCTCGTGAGGTTCGAGAAAGCAAATGACTTCCCCTAGTCCCCGGATTCCCTGCCTCCCTGCCTCCCCTGCTCACGCCACTAACTTCCAAACACTCGGCTTCAGGCTCTCTGCACCGGAAGCGATTGGGATCATTCGTTCGCCACCTTTCCTTCTGCCGCTGAATTGAAAGTCTTTTCTCTACAATGTCTCGCGATTCGCTCCAGTTTATTCCCTGGTCGGGTCCCTCTATCTCTATTACTATGAATAGGAAGCGATCTTGGAGCTGCAAAATAAGGAAGGGGACATATCTTGAGCATATTCATCAGGTTGCTACCGACCACGCAACTCATGCGGCTCCTCTCGTGCTCGGCAGTGGTGCCGCATTCACTGGTACCAACACTTGTGCGCCGGTTAATCACTAACTTGCGGTGAGATCTGGTGGGACGGGCCCACCTTTCGTCCATGGTGATATCAGCGAGTCGATTCAATCTATGTATCGGCCCATGCGCCGCAGGGATGCTACTCCGGCGTCCAAGTGCTGTCGCGGGCGACGTTCTTGCCGGGTATCAGGCCGCATTGCCATCTTTTGGGAATGCATCGATACCCAGTCGGATTTGGATAGCTGTGCGTGTGTTCCTGTAATCTCCCCCGAGTGGACTCTCATGATCATATCTGCGCAGGTGGAGGGTGCTCATACGCCAGCTTCGAAATTGACTGCGCACAGATTCCAGGGGGGTTCTCGACATCGCAGGCAAGTGGATTGTCAACAAGTGCTTGCCCCACTTTTCCGCCAACGGCTCTCGGTGTATCGAGAGCGAAGCTTTGCGGTCTCTGCTTGCCGACCAGCATGACACACCCTTTTGATCGTGTATCTTTTCCGAGTACTCTGGTCCCTCGACGAGATTCACATTCCATGCATCCGGCCTAAAGCTTAAGACTTCGAATGGAACTGAGCCGCATTCAGCTCACGCAGGGAGCGAGCAGAAAGATTGTATACTAGATGCATCTTGTACGATGCTTTTGATACGAGCTCTTGCACGAGCATTTACGCTCCTACAAACTTGTGCACGCCCTCCAGCCATGCGATGTATTCCTAATTCAAAGATCAGACAATTTGAACAGGAAACAATCGTTTTCCAACGTACCCTTTGCTCCTTCCACTGTGCGTATTCCGGGATGAAGACACCCAGTGCCTCGTCGATCCCGCGTTCACGGAAAAACGCGTCAAATTGCTCCTGCAGTCCAGCGTCGAGGGTCTCAAACTAACATGCCGACAGTGAGCATTCTTATCCGGTACTGAAACCACGAAAACGCACCACAGGCCCGTTGTACAGCAGTCGTCGCGTGAAATCGGCGTCCATGGTGAGCCCCGTGCCGGTTTCGCTGTCCGCATAGTACGAGACATTGGCCGGCTGAAGCACGCCGTTGGAGCAGTAGAAATCGGCCGTCATCGCACCCGGCGCGTTGGACTACGCATGCAGTTTGTACAGGTCAATAGACGGGTGACGGGAGACTGACGCGCCTTGGAGAAAGTTACGCGCACGCGCAGCTCCGTGGGTGTTTCGGGTTCCTCCTCCTCCTCCTCCATTTCATTCTCAGGGCTTTCGTCAACGGTCTGGAGGTCGGCGATGGAGAACATGACGCGGATGCTGAGGAAGCGGGGATGAGTTGGTTCCACGGTAGAGTATATGGGCGATGTCATACGCACGTCTCATTCTCATACTTCCCAAACAGCAGCACCTCGTCGTTCCCCGGGACATCCTCCAGCTGAAATCGCGACAGTCAGAGAGTTTCTTATAGTTGGATGAGAGCCGGGGGAACCTTCCATACGCCTTCCGAAAGGAAAGCCGAAAGCACTTCGGGCAACTGCTCTCCGCTGTCGCTCGCAGCTTTCACCTCGTAGTCGAGCTCTTCCTTAAGTTTTTCAAGGAGGGCGGTGGAAGCTGGTGAGATAGGCGCGTAAGAGACGACTGCAGACCAGCCAGAAGTACTGCGCACCGGGGGTAGCACTGCGAGTGGGCGTGGAAACCGAGAACGCGCGAAGGGTCGTGGATGGGAGCGCGCGTCCAGTAGCCGCTAGCAAATGCAGAGGCGGCGAGTGTTTCCCCCTCAGGGAAACAGTCCGGGAGATTGAAGATAGTTGGCGGAGAGCGCGAAGGGAAGACATGAGGGACGTGCAGAGCAATTAGAAATCTCAAGGTTAGGGTTACCGTTTCGTCTACCATATACATCCCTGTTTTCATCCATGGCTCAGTGTGTACAACGAATCAGATATGGCTTTCCTCTGTATTCATAAAAATCTACCTGAAATTGTGCACTTGTACCAATGGATGTGTTGAGAAATAAGAAATGTGTTGAGACCGACTGTGTGACGGTCTGCGACTCTGGGTGATACGTGAAGCAGCATTGTCGTCCACAGTGCGACCACGTAGTGTGGACTGAAGGCAGGTGTAGCGGCGGCATATCTTTCGAGCCTTGAGGTGGTTCGTTGCACAGATAAGGAAGATTGAAAGCGTCCAGGCTCGAACCAAGTCGTATACTATTCATCGCGTCACACGGATGGTCCAACACTGCCTAGGTCTGCTCGAAGTCTGGCCTCCTCTATCAGCGTCTCAGCCTCGACCTTGATGGTCGTCCTGTTGAGTGTGGCCATCGTCAGTCCCTTCCTGGTTCGGATGTGCGACTCCCAGTCAAGAGGGAACCTCTCCTCCAGCAGGAAGCAGCGCAGATCCGAGACATTGCCCGCAAACATCGTCGTAAGCGAGCAAGCGCTGCATGTCGTCGCAATTAGACACCCGAAGCTCTGAGCGTAAATACATACTTGGATGTTCCCAGCATCCTATGCAGTGTGTCAAGCGAGTATTCCGGATTCGCCAATCGGGAATGCGCTCGTCGTTGGGCCAGATACCGAGCCAAGTCTTTGTCACACAGAAGCAGCCCGTTGTCGCCTGAAGCAGATCCGAGAAACTGCTCGATGAATGGCCGGTATGGTTTGTCTTGTCCGGAATCGAAGAAGCAGTCTTGCCCTGCGGTCGAGAATTAGCGATCTGCCGAGTATTAGGAGTCGACGAGTGGCGCATACGAGTGATGGACGCGTCGTGCTCGATACCGTTGTGCAAGCTGATATCAGCCAAGTCGCACGCACCCTGTGGGTCAGGAAATGAGCATGCCACAGAGCACAATCAGAATCAGTGTCTCGGCCCACGGTTTTGTAATCCCTCCCCAAAACATCCGCGATGAATCGTGCTACGAAGAGCGAGAACGTCGGGGCAAAGTTCCACGTCTCTCTGACCGTCTCGGTAAGCGTGGTGAACTTGATATCTTTCCCGTCTGCCAGTTGCTGATTAACAGGCCAATGCCACAAGAGAAGTGATACGCACCGTGAGGCAGGATTCCTGATTGTGCTTCTTTCATAACTGAAGTCATTCAGCGGTGTGGGCGACGCACCGTGATTTGCCATCGCGTTCAGCATCGGGCACGCGCACCGGCTGTCATCCTCCGTCGGCGGCACAAATTCTGGCCAACACCGCCCCGCACCAGGCATGTCTTTCCGGACCACTTGGCCTTTCTTACGCTTGGGTGCGACAAGGTTGTAAAGGGTCAAGAGGGTGTCGTAAGCATAGATGTATGCACTGGTGAGTGTTCGAGGAGCGCGTACGATGAGCATGGGGCCAGGCGAGCAAGGTCGTCGTCAGAAGCGGAGCTTTCATGTGGTGCGGCCGCATGCATGAACACGACTCATTCAATTCCTTACGCAGATTGTCTGTCCCGTGTTGGGGATTTAGGAGAAACACAAGCCGATTGTGTGTAATGGACGCGCAAATCGGCAGCGAGTTCTTTGCGCGGTGTAGCACCCGACCGTCACCCAGCTTGATGCGACGTGTCACTCGACTTGAGCCAGTCCCAGTATATATTTCGTTACACCGCCTCGAGTGCAAGTGGTGAGCAGATGGATGCGGAGCTGGAAGCGCGAGTCGTTGAGGGATGAGTGCGTCATGGGAAGCGCCCCGCACACACCGATGGGACTTCCAAAACACCCTTCTCAGGGCTCCATCTCCGACTGTCGTCATGGTGGAAGAAACCTTGAGTCATTGTTCAATCGGTCGGTCGGTACTTAGACAATTGCGCGGCAGCAGATCGAGTTACTTCCAGGAAGAGTATTCAGATGGCTTGAGGAGCGAATAGCTAGTTCTGTAGGATCGTAATTGAGCAAAGCCTTCCAACTGCTTCGTCCATCCACATAACTCACAAGGTCCTCCCTACAGTTGGAGCGAAGAAGCGGAACCATCCAGTCTCGACTCTAGGCTCCTGTGAGTCGGAGTAGCATGGATTCTCATTCGTCATTCTGCGCACGCTGAGAGGCGCCAGTAATATGAGACGTCGGAAGTCTGCGGGATCTACCGGATTCCAATCGTTGAAACTGTCTCTTTAGGAGCTCCTGGCGAATGTCGACCGAGTAGCAGACCTGGGCTCAACACTTCTGGTTACGTAATAGATCAAGCATGATGCAATCAACTCTTCCAACTTGGCCGGATGGCTCAAAGACTTGCAGGCAACTCTTATTCGTAACCCCCACTGTCAAGCTTTTCTCCTCATGGGCGAAATCAGCAAGTTCTACGATATCCAACTGCTCATTTTGTCGGCTCTATGTCTACTCGCTCTTGTCCTGGACCGCTTCTACTCGATGTCGCGTCGGAAGCACGCGAGTGAGGACGCCCTCGCTGAGCGTGCAGAGAGCGGATACGGAATTACAGGGACGGGCGAGGCTTTGGCTACCTTGACGAAGCAATATCTCATCGTCTACTCCATCGTCATGGGTGTGTCTCTCAGCTACATCTGTCTCAGGCGGCACTGACTTGAACTGCTCAGGCGCGGACTGGCTCCAAGGGCCATACATCTACTCGCTGTACCACGAACAATATGCCTACACGGAAAGCACGGTCGCGCTCCTTTTCGTGGTCGGCTTCGTCTCTGCCGCCCTCGCCGCACCACTCGTGGGCTCCTGGGCAGACCAGCATGGGCGAAAGCGGATGTGCCTCATCTTCTGTGCCGTATACACCACAGCGTGCATCTGCACCCAAACGTCCTTCCTCCCGGCCCTCTTCCTCGGCCGCGTCGTCGCTGGTTTCGCAACGTCCATCCTCTTCAGCGCGTTCGAGGCGTGGTTGATCAGTGCGGCAAGTGCTCAGGGCCTGCACTCGTCAGATCTGTCGACGTTGATGGGTCGAGCGACCCTCGTGAATGGGATCGTGGCTACTGGTGCTGGAGTTGCGAGCAACCAGCTCGTGGCCTTCACTCACTCGTTTGCAAGCCCGTTCATCCTGAGCGGCGGGCTTCTCGTTGTTGCGTGGCTTGTCATCCGTGCTACCTGGACAGAAAATTACGGAAACTCCCCGGTGTCTTCTGGGGGAGAGAAGCCGTCTTCTAGCGCAGGCATGACAACGGACAGGTTCCAGATTGCTCGATTGGGAACAGCTCTGCGGATAGTACGAGACGATACTCGCCTTCTGGTTCTCGGCACTGTGCAGACTTGCTTTGAGGGGTCGATGTATCTCTTTGTGTTTCTCTGGGTTCCCGCCCTGCAGCAACATTCGACGCTGACTCAGCTTCCTCTGGGCTTCATTTTCTCGTCATTCATGCTGAGCATGATGCTGGGCTCGTTGCTGTACACGTTTTTGGCCACCCGCTCGGTAGACTCAAGCATCCTCACACACGCCAAGCTTTCGAGTTGTGTCTGTGCGGTATCTGGATTTTCCTTGGCTGCGTCTGCTTCGATTCCCGACGAACGGGTTCGTTTCTGGGCATTCTGCTTGTTTGAATGCTGTGTGGGGATGTACTTTCCGGTGCAGGGAATGCTGCGGTCCGCGTTGATCGCCGATTCGCAGCGGGCCACTCTCGGTGCCCTGTTCCGGGTGCCGTTAAACTTGCTGGTCGTGGGCAGTCTTCTGGGTGGTGTCGGTGCAGTCGGAGGAGAAGGCGGACGAGGTGGTGTCATGACAGCATGTTCCTTGATGCTGTGTGGCGCGAGCATACTTGTTGGTGTCGTTCTCGTTGGCCGCGCTGACAAATACGTCGCGCAGGGCAACCCGGTCGCCGTGGGCGTCATCCGCGAGTGAATTTCAAGCCGTTGCATCTAATCAAAATCAATGTTATAGTAACCCTCCATGTATCGTAGCTGATGATAATTGTAGACAATCCGATGGCTTCAACCCGCAAGTGGCGTCTGTACTAATCACACGCATCCCGACTAGAAAAATACACCAGGGCACTTATATAGCGTGTTGACTACTCCCGTGAGCGGCTCAGAACGCGAATCGATGGTTCAGGCGAATCAGAGTCTGGCATGGCACCTTACCCGTCAATCAATCTTCTGGTCTGCCTGGACCGGGACGTTGACTTGAAAGCTTGGAACATTTGTGTGGCGCCGTCGAAGTCTGTTGAAAGGAGTTGGATTCGGAGACAATAACGCTTAAAGAGATAGAGTATCGACTAGTCAGCAAAACTTACAGAGATGACGACAAGCCTGCGATTGCGGTTAAGAGAGATTGGGGCGGAATCATTACACATTGCATGGGTAGTCAGATGCACGATGTGTCCGAACAGATTCTTGAGTTGTGCAAAGGTGTCTGCTTTTTTGTGGTGCCGTGCTCTGTTAATCTTAGGAACCTACCTACTCCGACGTCGCACGCCATCGCAACTTCGGTGGCTTCAATCGATGCAAAATTAATGAAGTTGGCTTGTCAAAACTGGGACCTGGGTGCCCGAGCTTAAAGCAAGAAGACATACGTTGCCTTGAGGCAAACCATTTGATAGGCTATTTGAGCGGCAATCTTTGCCCTGACTGGGCTATGTCACCAAAGCGGAATCTTGTCTAGATTAAGCGTAGGGCCAAGCTATGTCCACGACAGTTGCGCACAGTGTACTGTTCAGGAAGGGGGGAGGGGGGGCTGGGTTTGCAAGTGAAGTACAGATATGCAATCGCATTGCCACGATGGCTCCAGTCTGGATTCGAACGCGTTCAGACACGCGCTCACATCGGTGTCTAGTATGATTGTCCTCCACAATCAATGAAGTTGAGGCTGTTACGGACCACGAATTAGGCTAAATTGTGGAGACTTTGAGGCTTTCTCAGGCATTTGCTGTAATTCGATACATTCTGCCTCGCATCCTCTTCTGGCGGCATCTGACGCGCGAAGGTGCTCGCGAATCCTGTCTGCTGCACAAGGCGTGATTCGGTCTCATGACCGCGGCGGTGATCTGTCAGATCATTCATCATTATTTCCCTGCCTCCCCCGCCCCCGCATCTTCACCCTCCATGAGTCATGTTTCAACCTTCTTCCAATGGAACGCCCTTCCCGTGGAGATCTCTCTCATGATCCTTGGGCTGCTGGATCCCTACGACATTCTCGCTTGTCGTATGGTAAGCTTGGTCCCCTTGATGAGCAAAGATCCAAACTTGCCAGGCTTCGAGATCGATGTGGATGCTAAGCAATCAACTTAGCTTATGGACTGAATGCTTGCGCAACCTCGACGGTCATGGATTCTACCCACATTCCTCCGAAAGTCCATCTCTTTCCGAGCTCGAACGCACCGCAACGGCAGGCCAAAGATTTACCCGCCGATTCCAGCGACACATCTCACACGATCATTTTGGTCCCTTCCCTGCACTCAAGCGATTGTACATCGAGCCTGCTGATCCCGAGGAGGAGCTCGAACATCTGCGGATGGTGCCCGGCGGGAGGTTTCTGTTAACCACTCATGATTGCATCGTCCGGCTGTGGGATCTGACGAAGCCCTCATCTGGACCGGTCTCGAGCTTAGAGATCGAGCCTGCGAGCTTTTTGATTTCCGTTTGGGTGAGGCTCTCTCCGCCTCCGAATCACGATCCTTTAGTCATCGTTGCGAGCCAAGAGGCAGAGTGGGTCTCATCAGTTTCTGCGTGTTGCACAATCTGAATCGACAAGCTTGTTCCACATTCATATATTAACGATCAAGCCCGAAGGACAGTTGGTTGTAGAGCACCCAATTCTTGCGCTGTCCATCCCGACCTCGGAATTTGCGTGGATAATCTGTGCGACTGCGAGACTCGTCGCGATCCAACTGGGGCACAAGCTTATTGTGTGGGACAACCAACGAGATTTGTGGATGAGCTGGGATTTGAGCAGCCTCCAAGTCCCGAAGACTTCCCAACGGGTTTGTGCCTGTCATTTCCAGATCTTATCCTTTGTTCAGCATCCGCAGACGGCTTATGTGTTCGATGGGAATATCGCAATATTTAATCCCGACGAGAGCGAACTCACCATATCTCGGATTCCGTCCCTTGAGCCACGCGCTTCGACTGCGACTCATCCTCCGCTGTTGAAGGTAGCACCTGATATCTTGCAGCGATACACTCTCTATCGCTTCAATTCCCTGCAGCGGCTCACAAATTCTCCATTTGCGGGCGTTACACTTGTTTTCCACAGCCCGGAAACCAGCACACGGGAGCGCCCGGTCCGGGTCGACGTCGTCAGCTCTGACGAGAACGAAAATGTGATCTTGTCTTATTTTGTGTTGATAGCAGAGACCGATGGCAGCCACCCGAAACTCGTTGCTGTCGGAGAAAGTCAGCTGGCTGCATGGTTCGATCTGTGCCACTCCTTTCACCTGGAATGGATATCCTGCGATACGGTCCAATGTTTCATCATTGAAAGCACAGTGCTTCACGTCGTCATCTCACAAGTGTCCTTCCCTGACGACTCACTCCTTCATCGATCGTACCATTCCGTCGCAGGGGTCCTGGGCACAGCCGGTTCCATCTTGGCCGGAGATGCAAACGTTGACTTTTGTTCTTTGTCTGGTCGCATTTGCGCTCGAACGAAAGTCGCGGAGGGCGAGGGATATAGAGTTGCGGTCTTGGACTATGTTCTGTAAATCTGCTACCTGGATTGAGAAACATCGATTGACTTTGGTTGAGATCGGACGGACGGAAGGCAGCAATTTCATTTTGGGCGAAACATATCCTAGATCTACTTACTCAGGTGAAATGCACGGCTCTTCCAAATGTTCACGCGTGGATTCAGCGGGAGCCGCCAGGAATGGTTCCCATCGCGAAGTCAGATTCTACGGAACAATCAGCAGGCTCTTGTGCTGGTGAGAAACTCGTTGCGTGATATTTTCGACGGTGTGGCACACTCGACTGATAGAAATTATCCCGTAAGAATGTGATATCAACATCTGGAAACGGAAAGTTCGATTTCAGCAGGTTTCCCAAGCGCACGTGTGAGACCGGATGTATCCTTGGCGTTGAAAGCAGGGTACGGCCAGCGCACTGTGTGTGGATGACTCGCTCCGATCTCGAATCCGCTCAGAGAATAAAATCAACGTAGTAATCGGTGTCGGACTGCGGGTGTCAAAGTGCTCATCCCAGACGTTCGAGAAAAGTCAAGTTGTCGTTGGGCGTCGGTCATCCTCGAGACATGTCAAATCTAATCTAATCTTTGACCAATCATACGACTGTTCCTCGGAAACCATCAACACATCACTCGAAGGGGGATATTCAGGAGCCCCTAGAAATTCAACAGGTACCGGTCGGCGGTGCATCGGAACGCGGGAAACAAGGGATTGCCAGGGTGAGATAAACCACGAGGCTCTTTGCTCGTGTAAACACAACTGGGCGCCGACAAGACACAGATCATGTAACCTTGTACTTACCCTAGTTTCCGCATTGTCGTTTTCGACGACACACCGTTTAGATTTCACACGGCTCCGGCGGTGGCCCGACTATGACCCCTTATCGGCCCAGGCGCAAAAATAAAAGCAGGCCTGGACCTTGGACGTCGGCACCAACTCTTTTGCCATGCCCCACATAAAAATCAAGAGCAGTGCCGGCTCGGGTAACTTTCACTACACCATCTCGACCCCCAAGAATCCGTCGGCCAAATCGATCGATAAGACTCTGCCCACAGTCTTGTTCCTGCACCCGGTTTACATTGCATCGGACATCTTCGAACGTGGGTCCGGATTCCCTTTGCATTTTTTTCCGGCTGACTCTCGCGACAGTCCAGTTCGCCGACACGAATCTGCGGAGATTCAATCTCGTTGCGCTGGACTTGCGGAGTCATGGTGACACTTCTGCCAAAGTTGGGTCGACTTACGGGCGAGATGAGGCAGCGTCGGACATAGACAAGTTTCTGGTGCGTCGAGTCCTCCGATTTCAGCTCGCTTCTCTGACAAATAGTCCAGGATGCACTAAAGATCTCAGCGTGTCATCTGGTGGGCGTTTCCATGGGATCCTGCATCTCGCTCCAAGTTGCGATATCATATCCTGCGAAAGTGCTTTCGGTCACGATGATCTCTCCGCTGCCTTTGATCGAGGTGAGTGGATCTATATCGCTTTTCTCCCTCGTTTCAATCGAGCTCTCATGTGAGTGATCTCAGCCTCAAGACGTCGCGGAGGGTCGACAGGAAATTCACGACTGCTGGTGCGAAGCATTCCAGGGAAAGAGCGTCGACAAGCTCGCACTGCAGGATGCTGTCCACGGGGCACTACAGCTGGGCTTCAATGGAGAAGAATCAAGTTTCAACCAAGCGTACGTTTTCAATTATTGCTGCCCTCGAATTGTCTCATCGCCCAGATAGGCTTATCTCCCGAGTCTTGCCAATCGCGACGAAGAATTGGGGCTCCAAATCAAAGTTGGAGGAATTTCGCACCGTCACGGTCGATTTTTTCGTCAACCGCACAGCGCAGACTCCCGACGCAGTGCGCAAGATACGAAGTCCCATCAAGCTCGTCCACTGCGGGGCAGATGTTGCTTACGGGATCGACTATTCCAAGGAGGTTCTTGCCTTGTTGCAAGGAAACGGAGTCAATGCACAGCTGTTAGAGGTTCCTGATGCTGCTCACTTTGGAAACGTTTCGAAGCCACGCGAGTGAGTGCGATTTATCGCGCTGTGCACTACCAAGTTGATCTAACGCCACAGAATCAACGCACTGATTTATGCTACTGTGATCGAGAACTCCCCGAATTTCAACATTCCACCTGCCTCTGCCAGCGTCGTATCCCCCTTCACGGCAGCCTTGGTCAAAGCAGGTTATCGCCTCAATGACACCGATTCAGACTCGGATTGATGTCTTGTCGAGTCAGCAGGTGGACTATTTGTTGGGTTTCTCGTATTCTATTATGAGGTTTATTTGTTGCATTTTACGACGATCAAGATATTTCTCTGTCCATCTCTGCCCCTGAATTTCATTTTACGTTCGACACCATGAGCCAGTAACCTTCAACTACAGCGCAGTTCTGGGAGCACCTACGAGCTGTGTCTGTTATCATTACCCTCTTCTCTTCGTTTTAGGTGAGCAGACTCCAAGCGCGTCACAACCCCGAACGAAGAAGGCTGAGATCGAGCTTGCGAGGCGCATGCGCCGGTTAGAGGTCAGCTGTCCATTATCCGGGTTGAATCTTTGAAATCTGTGGACTGCATGCACCTACTATCTATTTTGAGCACCACACTATTCTTAAGTAATGAATAACGGATTTTCGAAGATAAGGAACGCGAAAGCTGATCCAGTAACTCTTCCACAGCATACATAACTGATGTTCAGAATCCAGTCTACCACACTAAGGTGGAGCCAGCGATTGCCGAGCGCTAAGCAGTAGCATGACCGCACGAGGCCGACCGCATGCCCCGGGAATGAAACGACAAAAGGTCTGGAAGACGATGGAAGCACAGAGACAAGGTCGAGCGCACAGCCTCCAGTTAGTCATCACCAAACACCCTCCAAATAGGGCAGGTACAGCTTCTTCTTCCCTGACCACCACCACCATCGTCGTCTGCCCACTTCCATCCAACTCGTGAGTCCTTGTATCTTTACAATTATGGGCTTTTCTCAGTGCCTCCTTCTCCTCATCGCTCTTTATCGTGTCTGCATCGCTTTTGTGAATCCCGCACTACTCTTTCACCGATCTACTGCGATTCCGCGATTTCAATCGATATTCAGCCCTTTCCCGTTCAGTTCTCCCATCAGCAATGGCTTTGAAGCGTATTAACAAGGTGCGTTGGGTTGTCTCGCCGATGCATCTCCCTCCGCCGCGAGGGCGTGGTGCTTACAGGGGCTTTGTGCGCTTACTCGTGGATTTTCCAGGAACTACTGGATCTTGGACGAGACCCCCCGTCCTCCTGCAGCGCCGGCCCCACCGGGGAGAACATGTTCCAATGGCAGGCAACCATCATGGGTCCGGTGCGTCCTTATCGCCGGCGCACCGCCATATCGCGCGACACCTGCTGATTACTTCATATGTAGGGTGAATCTCCCTACGCTGGCGGCGTGTTCTTTCTGTCGATCAGCTTCCCTACGGATTACCCTTTCAAGCCTCCCAAGGTCAGCTTTACGACCAAGATCTATCACCCAAACATCAACGCAAACGGGTCAATCTGCTTGGACATCCTAAGGGATCAGTGGTCCCCGGCATTGACGATCTCGAAAGGTATGTGCATCTTTTCTGGGCTCCCTTGTGCAGTCTACATGACCTCACCTATCTCTCGCTCCCGTTGGTACCGATCGATGACTCATGCTTTATTTAGTGCTGCTCTCGATCTGCTCAATGCTGACTGACCCGAACCCCGACGACCCTCTTGTCCCTGATATCGCGCATTTGTACAAGACGGATCGCACTCGGTACGAGGCCACTGCTCGGGAATGGACACGGAAGTGCGTGTACAGCGTTGCTTAGGCGTCTGCCGTGCTAACCCCGATCTGCCAGGTATGCAATGTAAGACGCCGGTCTACGTTGGCGCGTCCTTGTGTAGAATATGTCAGCTCCTTGTACTTTTCACGGCCTTAACAATCAGCATCGGCTCTGCTCTCATGTATTAGGCTCTGGCTCGAGGATTGGTTTCATGAGGCGCTATTCTGTGATGGGCAGCGCCTCTCTTGATCTCGAAGGTTACAACGCTAGAGGGAGATAGATCACAACTGCCCTGGTCCTAAGCGAATGACCGCGGCATTGCCGCATCATCCGGAACGATGTTCCGCTCACACCCCACCCACTACTCTCATCATCCTGCTACTGTAGTTTTATTTCACGCGGCGGCCCGCCCTCTGTTCGCTGCGAAAGCCCGACCAAGAACCGGAAATGCTTTCGAGCCATCGTTTGCTATGCGCTTTGCGAGTCGCAACGTTTTTGTGATGCAGTCGGCAATATCGGGACTTGGCGCCCATTGCCTTTGCCCGAAACCGCCTTGAGCGGTCATTCATGGCAGTTGTCTTGTCTGACTTTCAGGCGTCTCGTGAACACCCATATCGATCTACTTCCGGCCTCCTGGACTCCATGCAACCAGTGTCGGGGAGGTGCGAATCAGGAGCATTGCGCAGGTGGTGCAGGCGGGATCGTACCCTTGCTTGACGGGTTCCTTCCCTCATACACCCGTACGACGCGTCTCTCATCGAACGCGCCGCGCCATGACATCGGACGATATCCGTGTTGCTGTCTTCAGACCCTGCGCCGACCGCGTCCGCTTCCGCGACGCCAACCTGATGCACTTCTGCTCGGCGGACATCATTGAATGGTTGTCAGCAGACGCAGGTATCAGCTACGATCCCCCTTCTCGACGACCAGCGAATGCGTGTCGTGATACACGGTGCTCAAAAACGCTGCAGAGACGAACGTGACGCTTTTCGAATGGAAGAACGACTGGCCGCGTGTCGAAGTGCGGAAAACCGTGCCGAGGCAGGGTGTGTGAGAGCGTGGTTGCGCGCCGAATCGGAGATTGGGTGTGAGTGCGGATCCCTCCATCTTCATGTCCCAGCTAGTGCGTAGGAGATAACATCGTACAGATGCAAAACGACGATCTTCGGAAACGTAGACTATCGATGAATCCCGGACATGCATTACCCGGGTATCATGAAAATCTTACAGCCTGGCCTGGATCGCATGCGCTTGGATTCTTGGCAAGTTGTTAACCTGTACTTGCGTGCGTGTCCCCATTTTTCACTCCAGTATCTCCTGTGATGAGCTGTTGTTATGGCTTTGATTCGTTTAATCATGTAGTAGGGATTCGGAGATTCGATTTTGGTTGCCGGGCTTCTTTTGCACTCTGGTCCGCATATGAATCGATGCTGCGTGATTGCTGTATGATTCAGAACTCATATCCCACAACGTAAGCGAGGCGCTCCGGGAGTAGGGCAGAGACACTAAGCTAAGCTATCTTCGGTCATTGTCAATGTCGGGACTTGCAAGCAGCCGGGGAATGGAGGAGAGCTAGATTGTTTGCAGGATAAGGTGATGAGCAGGACAAGGAGCGCTACAGATAGCGTGTTTACACGCTATGCATCGAGGTATAATTTCTTTCTTTCGATATATCCCCGAGATCGCATCTCCTCCAATCTGGCGCATTCAGGATTACTGTTGTAGATGGAATACGCATCGGAGAGCAGTGTCTTCAGTTTCTAGGAGAAAGTCAGGACAGGTGATCAGCCCCCCGGGAAAAACCGCACCGCGATTCGTTCGGGAGTAGGAGGATGAGTGCTGAGAAACTTGGGTCGTCCGTGCTCTAGTTTGCCCAGGTCCTCGAAGACTCTGCAGGTCGCAAGTCAGATTGAGTATAGCGTGGGTCAAAAAACGTCACCTCGGGGAAGCTCCGGGATTATAACAAGCTCTGGCCATGAGTTGCAGCCCAACGATGTCAGCTGGCAGGGAAAGATGAGCTGGGGATCATAACTCATAAATGTGACTGATCTTCACCTTCTGTCTCAAGCGCCCGGGAATGAGGCAACGAATAGAGATATTCGGCCAGAAACGACGAGGAAATGACACCCAGCCCGGCAATCCACATTAGGCCGATCACAGGGAGCATCAACTTCATCTGGGAGAGATGTTCAGCGGAATGACGCATTGCGACGTGCCCGATCTCTGGTCTGCCATGAGTGAAAGGACAGGAGAAATCGAGGGTTAGAACACACCGTGACCAACGATGGCAGCCAAGCCTTCCTCGTCTTTGGCGACAGGCATGATTCCAGTCGAAACACATACCAGCCCGGGGGCAGCAAACGCGTTGACGAAGGTTCGATCGTTCACCACGAGCACCGTCCATTCTTTCTCGGGGTGCATCGTTTCAGTTTGTGGAATCTCTGTGCCATCCTGCGCCCATGATACATTTGCGCCGGTAGGCGACTCGCCCTTGAGGTGACCCAGGTCGGAGGCGGTGATGATGCGACGCGTTATGCGACGGACGAGCTGGGAAAGCGGGTGGTCGTAGGGAAGTATCTGGTCCTTGTATGCCTCCAAGGTCTCCTCCATAACCACTTTGCGGAGAAAGTCCTCTTCTGCTTCGCTAGCGGCCATGAACCGCCGTCGACCCGTGATGGGCGCTTTCTCGAGGCTATTGGCGAGTGAGATTAGGTCGGCAAGAGCCGTTGGGGGGATGAGCCTACCTTGACACGTAATAGCTGCCAAAAAGGATTCCAACACTGACGCCTAGAAATGTAGTAGATGTGCGATCGAAAAAAGGTTTTCTGGGGGTCGGCCTGTCATTGTGGTGGGTCGAGTACAGACGTGAAGGAGGCCGGCGCGGTGGGTAGATCGGCTTTAGTTGGGGCCGCGTGCGCGATAAGAGCCTGCAGAGGATCTACATGGGATAAAGTGAGGCCATTTACTGGCCTTACAGGAGCATACCATGCGGCACAGATTGGATCACAGTCCTCTCGGAGTCAAGCCGTATTCAGCAGAGTTGAGAGCGAAGGTTCGAGTTCAGAGTATGATCCACTGAGCATAGAGACTGGACATATGTGGTGTTCGTTGGACTAGAGTAAATCGCCGCCAGTTACCGTCTGACTGATAGCTGCCGCGTCATAGCCTGGCCAAATAAACAATGATAGCCAACACCTGAACTCTAATTTAGGAAGTTCGGGTTGAGATGGATATCCATTTAATTCTGTAACGCCCCTATTTTCTGCAGTGAGAAAACCTGCTCTCGAGCCTGATCCCCGGTCCGACCAGGGAATTTGCCGCGTTCAAATTTAGCCACATGCCCTCCGTCACGAAGATTCTCAGGATCCCGAAGCATCGCGAAAAACGTGACTCGAATCATCGTGTCTGATAACATTAGCGATCCAAGACGATTGGATTTCAAATAGCATTAGGAAACGAGCTAGGTATGACGCATACAGCACTCAGAAGAAAAGAATCAAGGTCCGAACCAACTATCCATCTCCTCACTTCACTTTGTCCAGTTCGATCTCGCCTTCAGGCGTTTGCCGTCGGGCAAAGGGGCCGTCGGCATCCCAGATGATCTCGGTGGGAATTGTTAAATCGGAGCGAACAGGAGGAGCCGTCACCGGGGAGTCAAAGGCGACGACATATGTCTCGCTCGCTTCGTTGAGGCTCTTTCGCATCGCGCCGTGAGCATTGGTCTTGTGACGGAGCATATTTGCTCTGACGTCTGCGAATTTTTAGAAATGAAAGCAGGATACTGTGAGTCGAAACACGCACTGAATGATTTTGAACAGCCTGGGTGAGTACACGGGAATGCTGTGGAAAGATGCATCGTCATTCCAAGCCTCGTGCAATGAAATAGACTCGCGTACATTGCACAGTGCCTTCCGGTCTACTACTGGGGCCAGATTCAGAGTTAGAAGACCCGGAAATCCTGATCCGATCGGAACCAATGTAGGTAAGTAAACAGAGACAAGAACATAAGACAACGACTGACGGGCCAGGGGACGCTGAGCCGGGTGGTCCGTCGGGCCGTTGTTCGCTGTCGGACTGCATTGCAGGATAATGGTTCCCCAGAGCAACAGTCAAGCTGGGATAGCGCTCGACCGCCGTCTGCGAAAAGTTTGGCGGCGAGTTGTGGGGGATGCCAGTCATTCTGTTTCGCTGATGGGAAAAGGTTGGAGTCTTCTACACAACAGAAACTCTGTACTCACGCAGATATTTGAGCAGTTTTGCTTCGGTCATCACGCAAGTTCGAACCGGACGCACTTTTATACCTTGCTGACTGGACCTCCGACTCCGAAAAAGAGATCATTTCCCGCGTCGAAGCCACCCTCTGCGATCCAGCCAGCTCGGGAAGGTTCGATCTGTTCGTGCCTCTGAGATAAGGTCGGCGAGGGCACGGTAGCTGAAGGTAGAGAGGAGAGGAGAAAGCATGGGATGATCTCTGCATGTTCCCATCCCGAAGAAGCGCAGTCTCGACTCATGTTCCCGGCGGTTTCGAAACGTCCACAGAGAGTTTTCTTCCTGACAGCTGGAATTCAAGGCACGGAGATAGAAAGAACGACATCTCAATCATCGGTTGACACTAAACGAGCAGTGGTGAGAGCAGAATCCCCAGTACGCGCTATCAGCAAAATAGAAGACCGTAAGCTCCTATTACAACCGGCTGATTTTCTTGCTAGAGTGACAGCCCGGGCACCGTAAGAGAATCAATCGCAAGCAGTAAACGTCAACCGGGAGCAGGTAATGAAAGCAACGTGTGGTCCGTTCATACACAGCCACCGTGATCATCTCGGCAGTCTCGTCCGAGTACAAGCCAGTGTTGGAGATGAATGCACAAGACAAACAATCAAAGACCTCTGAATCTCCTATAGCTGAGTTTTATTACCATTTGGAAGCATTTTGCAAACGGATCCAGAGATTCCGAGGGCAAAAGAAATGTTTAACAGGTCGGTGCCGAGCTTCAGATCTTGACTTGTCGTCACTTGCGTAGCTCGACGCTATGTTCATTCAGAACACCGATGTCAAGGAGCGCTGGTATTCTTACTGCGGCATGGATTCATTTTATCGGGCACTCCCGAAATGGTCATCTCGATGAGCTTCGACGGAGACTACCCGCTGCACGGTGTTACAGGCATATTCTCCGGTAACATGACCCCATCCCGGGGGCCGTGACGACAAACGCGAGGGTCCTGTGGTTTCGAATCTGAGAGGATCATCTTGCAGGGACCGGCGTCTGGCTGGCTCCTTCCAATCACTGTCCCATCGTCGGCGAAAACCAGATCGATCCTGGGAGGCACGAGACGCCTCGCCTCGTTTCGATGGTGAGATGAAGCGGTGAAATTGAGCCATCCCCGCGCACACTCAATACAATCCGAGCACGTGGGAGGGAAGAACGCACCTCGAGCCCGACCTTCGATTGCGCAGATCGGATGTCGTTTTGTCAAGCAAGCTTAGTTTGGATTGATGACCTCACCCGCTTTTACGGACGGGAATGACTGATCGGTGGGGAGGAGACAACGCTGTTAGAGAGCAACGTGTTTGACCGAAATGTCCGTCTCCAGATGGCTCTGAGTCGAAGGTCAGTCACGGCGAAGTCCACGGGTTGATCCAATGCTTCTCGGACGCCGGAGAGACCGGATCAGAGCGGGCCGCCGAGTTCGATTACAAAATGCAGATGACAATAGCCACACAAAGCCTTGGCGCGAAGCGCAGTCTTTTCCGTCGACCGCTCTGTGAGACAATCGGATGGCTCCCCATCGCATTGGACGACCAGTTGGAGGGTGAACGATGGTGAGCAGCTGATTGGTCGTGACCTCAGCAGCAGCCTCCGCAGGGCTCAGCCAGGCCTCAGCCAAGTTTCTGCTGGCTACCATCATTCGATATCGGAAACAATTCCTGCGCCACGCGATAGCTCCAGCCAGCCGGGACCAATTCTCTTCAAGGACACATGAGCGTTGTGCTTTGCATTTGGGCCTGGGCTTCTACAATCCAAATGCGACGCTTTTTTGCGAGGGCCGACGTTTTAAGCATTGATTCTGAGATGACAACGTCCATCAACTTCCCTTGTAGCGACCACCACCTACATGGCCTGCCGTGATATGCATTGTCCACCTGAAGAATAGTACTTCCGGCCTCCGGAGATCTTCCGGAATGGCAACGGAGATGGCGATTTTCGAATGCTATAAAGGAGAAAATCGCGTAGGCGGACGGTTACGGTCTTCCATGCGGTTCTCTCTGTCCCTCTTTGCGCTTTTAAGTGCCGCGGCCAGCAGAGTGCAGGCGCTGAGCTACCACGGTGCCGACTTTTCTTCGCTTATCAATCTCGAGAACTCGGGCACTCGATACACGGATGGAGGGTCGCCAGTAGCCTTCGAGACGATCCTCAAGAAGCACGGGGCAAATCTGGCGCGCATCCGAGTGTGGACCAGTACCACCGATGCGGGTTACAGCCTGAACTACGGGCTTCGGCTGGCCAAGAGAGCCCATGCAGCGGGAATGACTCTAATGGTCGATTTGCACTACAGCGATACTTGTGAGCACCGAATCGCAGTGTGTTGCGCTCGCTGATGATCTACTCGCTCTCAGGGGCGGATCCCGCCCATCAGTCGATTCCTACGGGGTGGTGAGTGAAGACTTCCCGCGCGTTGGCATGTCCTGATGTAAACAAGGCCGACTACTCTGTCCGGGCTGAACACCCAAATCTACTCGTGCATAACATCTCTATCCGCGCAGATAGACGCTCATGAAGTCATGCAGCTACACCAAGAATGTGGTCACCTCCTTTGCGTCCCAGGGCACGCCTATCACATTTCTGCAGCTCGGAAATGAGATTAACAACGGTCTCCTGTGGCCCGTTGGACAGATCTCTGCTCACGGATACTCGCCTGCTTCGCAGCTGCTTCACTCCGCAGCCAGCGGCGCGCGGGCGGCCTCATCCTCTGTGCGCACGATGATTCATCTCGCCAACGGCTGGGATGCGTCAGCCATGTCCTCCTTCTACAAGCAGATCTTCATTCCTGGTCAGCTGGTCCCCGCTGACGTCGACTCGATGGGATTCTCTTTCTACCCGCTCTATGGCCCTGGTGCGACGTTTTCCGCACTGAAGACATCACTTCAAGGGCTGGTAAACAGCTACAGCAAGGTGCGCCGCGAATGCCGGCTGGCAGGATGATGCTTATTATCATCTCTAGGACGTGATGGTGGTCGAAACCAACTGGCCAGCAGCTTGCTCTGGAGTGAAGCTCAGTGAGCCGATTGCCGTCTCTGCTGCCGGCCAGGAGACCTGGGTCAAGGACACTCGCACCATCCTCCAGGGCATCTCTGGATCTCATGGAATCGGTCTCATATACTGGGAGCCCGGCTGGGTAGGTGCTCCATCCTGTCCCCAACATTTCCTAAATGTCAACAACCAGGTCGGAAATGCCGCCCTTGGCTCTGGTTGCTCGGTAAGCATTTCTGGCTGTGCATTTGTTGCCCGACTAAAGTAATTGCCGCAGGACAACCTGCTCGTCGCCTATCCTGGAGCGACGCGCAGCTCGATCAACATGTTCGCTAATGACATGTAGGGTCACATACCACATTACATACCCTATCTATATAATACAACTAGTAATCGCGAGCGGGAATGAAACTTGCAATTCGGAACACCTACTCTGGTGATATCAGGTGGCTGTACAGAAACACGATCACATGCACATCTAAGACTGGGATACAACCATACGAGTAACATCATGTTCGAACATATGCTTCAGGGCCGGAACATCTCTCCGACGAGCGAAGCGAGCTACATTCTTCTGGGAGCTGGCCCTGAGCGGGTTGGAAGTCGCTACGTTGTTCCACCCAGTTGTCGCTCCTCTCGCGCGTGACCAGTAGCCGGAGAAATATCTCCAGCACGGATCAAGAACAAGGTCTAGATTCGATTGGTAACCTATTGCAACCCGGCCAGTGGACCTATGGGGGAGTCGAGAAACCAACGATGTTCCTGCTTGACATCCTGCGGGGAGTTGTCTATGTGAACTTAATCCGACGAGGGATTGCCGGAACTTTCCCATATGAATATACTTGCAGTATGAAATTTCGCAGCTACGCCCGGACGCGAGGAGACGAGCACATCTCTACTTTCCGAGCACCAAGCAGCCCAACCGTCCGTACGTTGACGAGTCAAAAGCTGACTTCGAGGTACCCAAGTCATACTTCAAACTTGGGTTCATAGGCATTCGATGTCGCCGATCCTGGAAGAATTCTAATTGGGCGAATGTTGATCGATGTCCATCACTGTCACAGTGATGTCGCGTCCCTGGCCAAGCCCTTTCTCTGTCGCCCCACTTTCTACGACTAAATTCCGGGTCACGACTTGTAAGCACATTCTTCATGGCTGGCAAGCAGGTATATACTTCCGCCACACTCTCCCTTATGACTCAACGCTCACGCCTTTCCAGCTGGGAAAGTTCAGACAAGTACGTGTGCCATTAATAGCGGCGATACTGCGAAGCATAAAGACTCCGACTCATCCGGCCACTTTTTGTCTGCTAGTGGGCAGGAGAGGTCATTTCGTCCCGGGACAAGACGACCGTGTCGGACGAATTCAAAGAGCTCGAGCGGGACGTCGAGCATCGGAAGGAAGGAGCGCATAGGTGTGTCTGGGGCTCAAGTTGTTTGCTGGCCATTTCACCGAAGGCGCTATCCAGAATCTTTCTAGCCTCCGAGGCATACCACAAGCATCTCTCCAAGCGGAAGGATAATCTGGCGCTGGACGAATCAGATAAACTTCTCCCGATCGAAACGCTGGGCGTGTGCATGGTCATCCACGGAGAAGAGTTTCCGCAGGATTCGCCATTCGGTATGTCTTTCCAAGGCCAACTCGGATTCGCTTCCGAACTTAGCACTCTTTCCAGGAAACTCCCTCGTTTCACTTGGCCGCGCGCACTGCAAGGTGGCAACGTTGCAGGAAGGGTTCGCCCAATCATTCCAAGATAACTTCATGGGTTCTCTCGTCCGTTTTGCGGAGGATATCAAAGAATACGAGGCTCTGCGCAAGAAGCTTGACAGCCGGAGGTGCGTCTCTAATGTTAACGCATGACATTACATACTAATGAGCGTAACAGACTCAGCCTTGATGCTGCTACAACTAAATTTGAGAAGCTCAAGAGCGGGAAAAAGGAGCGCGAGCGGAAAGAGGCGGAGGAGGAGATGAATCTTGCAAAGATGCGCTAGTGAGTTCGGATCATTGTCACCCACGCACGCACCACACTGACCTTCCTGAAAGCGAAGAGACGTCAGACGAGACGGAGGCCCACATGCATGCGATACAAGAGCATGAGATTGCGCAATGTCGCGATCTTACTGCCCTCTTGACGCTGGAGATGGGTTTTGTGGAACAATACCTAGAAGTGCTAAAGGAAACGCGAGCAGACTGGCCCAGCGAGTGAGTTCCCGGGCGTCTTAAGCGTATATTGGCTGTCTGACACACACCAGTTCGCCCCGTCCGAAGCCGGCTCCGTATCCGACCACACCAAAGCAGCACAAATCAGGATCTGTGCGGTCGAAACGTTCGGTCGCACGCGTGCCTGACTTGTCAGAGGACGACGAGGAGGTACCTTCTCGGGCACCGAGCCGACCGCCCTCTCGACCTAACTCCCGCGCGTCCCGGAAGCGAGCGGAAAGTGTTGGTGACAAGGAGAAGGATAAAGACAAAGAGAAGGAGAAGGACAAAGAGAAGGAGAAGGAGAAGGAGAAGGACAGAGAGAAGCGGCGAATGAGTGTTGCTGGCTGGGCGTCAAACGCTGTTGGATCTGCCATGGGTTCTGTCGCCGGCCGGGGAAAGAAGGCTCTGGGCATGGGGGAGAAGGACAAGGATTCCTTTGCCAGCTTGACAGATGATGGTGATCGCAGTGAATCCGTCTCCGACTCGAATACCAGCAGTCTGGTCGGATCCCTCTCCCGTCGCAGCTCCAAACAGACCGCCACACCCAAAGGGGCGAGTCGGATCCTGAAGCCCCCGTCGCAGGCATCGCGCCGGTTTGTTCGCGCTCTGTACGACTTCTCTGGGTCTTCTGATGAACTGTCGTTCCGTGTCGGTGACCAAATTGTGGTGCTGAACGAGGTATTGGATGGGTGGTGGATGGGCGAGCTGCATGGCAAGCAAGGATTGTTCCCGACGCCGTATACTGAGCCGATGCCCGAGAAGCCTCCGCTGCCCCATCGTGCAGGACGCGACCACCAAGCCGACGGCGACAACACATTAGGCCTGGAGATGGAGAGTGAGGACGATGAGGACATCTTCAATCGTCCGCCGATGGCTGCCGACAGTCCGTTCTACGGTGTCGAAAGCCCGAACATGCTCACGGATGACGACGATGAGGAGCAAGGACTCGTGAGCCGACCTGCTGCTCCACCCATCGTTCGGCGCTCGACAACGAGTGAGATCCCAGCCAAGAAAGCGCCGCCGCCCCCACCGCCAAGAAGAGCGACAAACGTGACGCCCAGCGCCAGTCCTCAGATCCCGGAGCGCCGCCCGCCGTCGCGTGCAAAATCGATCGGATCTATCGGTCGAAGCGCGGGCTTAGCCGTTTCGTCTGAAAGCACCTACGACCGGTCGCCGTTTGAGAGTGCGACCGAGCTGGGACCGAGCCAGAGCGGCTGCATAGATTTCAAGCAGAATCCGTTCAAGGCTCCGGGGATGTGTAGCAACTGTTTCGAGATGCATGCTTAGTACTTACATACAAGTTACGATGATCTAATTTTGACAATTAATGATGACCTTGTTAATCACAATCTTTGTTACCGGAACTTTGCAACAGATTCGACGTCACTTTTCGGATTTCTGGCTCTGACCACGACGACCAACTGTTTGTGACCCCCGGGACTGCCAAGGCCCTTCGGCACATGCCTGTAACGCTGAATAGCCGAAAGATCGTCATCTTAGGTTCCCCTTCAGTGGGTGAGTGACGACATCACTCGTTGAAGGAGATCGCAGCTGATCGCGCACAGGCAAGTCGTCGCTGGTCGAGCAGTTCGTGGAGAATAACCATGACTTCTCTGAGTCGTATTCTCCGACCATTGAACGAACCTTCCACAAGACAATCCATTTCAGAGGCGTCGACTATCCTTGTGATCTGATCGACACAGCTGGACAGGTGAGAACGTATTGGCCTCGAGTATCTCGCGTCCTGGTTCCACCGGCTCACAGTCGAGGTGTAGGACGAGTTTTCCCAGCTCAAACCGCAATATGCGATTGGAATACATGGCTACGTATTAGTCTACTCGATAACATCACGCGCGTCCTTCGATTTGATCCGGACCATCTACGACAACATCATCGATTACTGTGGACTGCCCAAGCTGCCCGCCGTCTTTGTCGGATCCAAGGCGGATTTGTACATGAGGTGGGTCCACTCCAAATGGAAACTATATCCGTCCGTTCTGACGTCATCAATCATTCCATGCATCTGCAGCCGCCAGGTCGATTCGCGCGAGGGCCAGCAGCTTGCGCAACGTAACAGTGGGGCCTGGATTGAGACCAGTGCGTTGCGCGGCGAGAACATATGTACGTACTGACCATCCGCGTCCGTTCATATCATCGGAGGCTGAGCCATCCTGTCCGTCAGCCGAAGTGTTCGAGCTCTGTCTCGCGGAAATCGAAAGAGCGAATGCGGTCCCTGTTCAACTTCCTGAGGACCGCGACGGAAAGTGTGCGATCATGTAGCACGACTGGCTCGTCTAGCTTGCTATCAATAGTATAGTTTGAGGAGACCCAATCAGATCAAAGCATCCAAGTGTAATTGATTCCGTCCGTCTGATTGATGAACCCGCGTGGCTTTTATTGGTCTCTCATGTTCCAAGACTCGCCAGAACAGGCTGGAGCATTCGCATAGGAAAGCTAATCGCTTTCGTCAGCCACTCGAGGTCTTCTAAAGAAGAATTGCGTAAGCGCCACAATTATGGAAGAGTGATGTTCAAGTCCTGTGAATTCCCTGATGTTGTGAGCACGGAACTTCTAGCCATGCTTTCGCGCGACAGAACCTCCGGCACGGATCTCAATATCTATAGGTATCTCGCCGATTGATAATTCTCAGGGAGGGTGAAGGTCGCGTCTCAAAGTCAATTGTGTGCCCGGGCATGCATTCTCATCTACGCGTTTAGTATGTTCTGTCAGATTATTTCTCTGCATAAAATTTCGAGTTCTGAAGATTAACGCGACCCTGACTTGCGGTACCGCCAGGTATTCTAGAAGCTCCGTAGATCAAATGCCGATTCCGGACACTGACAGCGAAGGTGAGCGACATAGCCCAATCCGGCAAGACATGTTTGGTTTACTCAAAGGGGGATCCAAACCCCGCACAAGGTCCAGTATGTTGGGAGCACTTATATGTAACAGCAGCCGCGTCTCGTTACAGTCCACTGTGTTCGTTCTTTTTCCGCAATGTCAACCAATATCAACGCGACCCCAACTGCAAGCCTCAGCCCCGGCGCGTCGTCCTTGCCAGGATTGCCCAAGGATTTTCTCATGGCGACGTACGGAGCCTGGCTCATCGGTTTATTTCTCGAAACAATGTCAGTCACACACACTGCTCAATCGAGGCTCCTGCGGCTAACATCCACGCGACAGATTGTATGGCTCAGGGCTGCTACAAACTTGGCT